ATTCCTAGAGTCTAAAAAGGATAGCTTGGGATATATCCTTGGATAATTGAATTCTGTTTAGTTACCATTCTTCTAATCCTCCGGCATATTTCAACAGGATTTAAACGCTTATTGCATGATTTACTCAAATATGCAACAATCAAAACTTACTATCATTGAGAATATATTTATAATAATAATTACCTATACTTTGATCCAACATTTCCATTCTCCATTCTTCTAATGCATTTCTAATTTCCTTATTCAAACATAAGCAGTAATTTTTATATACCAACTAGGTAAAGCATTCTAAACATAGAGTTTCTAAAAATAATATGCAATACCTTGTGTTAAAATTCTAATTTTCTTTTTTCCCCAAGTTTTCCTTAATCTTTCACTCCAGTGCGTTTTACTGTCCCTTATCTTTAATATCAGAATTGATTTGAAATAAAATTAGTGGTTATACTTTACTTACAAAACTTTCTTTACAATCTTCTCTTAAGTAATATATGTAAATTTATAGAAATTTAATGACGCATTTAGTATTTTTGTGCATTTCAGTGTACATTGTTTATATATTGTATTATGTCTGTAAATTCATTATTTTTCATAAATGCGTTCTTTAAAACTTCACAGATAAATAGATATATTTTTATTTGCCTGTTTCTATTTTCTTGTAGATGATCGACTGCAGTTCTTTATATTTTTTTATTTTCATGTATGTGTACTTTACAGGAATTTAAAGCTTAAACTCGGGTTAAAAATCTAAAAGTTGTTAAAAAATCTATTTTTTAAGAATAATTTACATTTTAATATGTATAGAATTTGAATATTCACTAAAACCAATGTTTTGTGACCAGTTATGTCTATGTCTTGCATCTTTGTGTGTGTGTGTGTGATTGTTAAAAGAAATGAAAAAAAATTGTTAAAACGTCAAATAAGAATAGAAAATCGAGATGAAGTAGATAAAATAATTAAAAGCTTTAGTTGCTGTATTGAAGCTAAAATAACAAGTTAGATTTTATACAAGATTTCAAATAACTGAAAATAACACTCTGTTCTTTCTATTTCATAAACCACTGCAGGAATTGCATCTAATCATCCCTGAAATCTTCCGATAGAGGAAAAGAATGCGATTCATGAATTTAAGCTAGAATGGTTCCAAAACTGCAAAACAGCTAATATTTTTATGCCTTTGTTCGTTAAGGAAGTAATGACCTACAAAGCGAAGGTAAAAGGTGGTATTGGCTAGTTATTTATTCATTCCTCCTGACTGAAAAAAGTCCAGTAAAGAACTAAAGTCGTTTCTGTGAGTGGTGGAAGCAGTTGCTCGTATTTTAGGGTTAAGGAATTTAACAGACTTCAAGCGAACACGGCTCGCAGTACCCATCATGCTGTCGTCAAACTAGTAAAACAAATCTGTGGAACAGTGATAGTAACAGTGCGTGACCGAAAATAGTAATAAACTAGACAAGAGCCATTGCAATTCTGCTGCTTTTCATGAAGAAGCCTCAGCGGAGTATTGGTTGGGACAAAGGCTTCAGACAAAGTTCTGCCATATTATTGTTAATATGCAAACAAATGACACCAGTTAGGTTCCACTTAATGCAGAAGATAAGATGACAGGGCAGATGACACCATTCGCAATATGAATTCAGTAAAAAATCCATGTGGCTGGCATTATTTCCACGGAGAAATCTACCCAGTGATGAAGTTTCATCACTGTGAACGGTAAAATTAACAAACGAAACCATAGATACTAATGCACATGAATTCATCACGCCGAAACTACTGGTGAGACCAAGATCATCAGATGGAACGTCTTCTACCAATCATATCGACGATCTTGCTTTGTTCTTCGACCGTATTGCGCTGTTTTATCTGGAATGAAAATACAACACGCCAAAAGTAATCCATTCACAGAAACATTTCTAATCTTTTAAAATAATAATTAAGTCAAATATCTAACTACCCCATTCCTGTAATCTTTTAAAATAATAATTAAGTCAAATATCTAACTACCCCATTGCATTTTTTCATGTTAAGTTAGGTTACTTGTATGTGGCAAAGTACACGAAGGCTATCTATCTAAGGGAAAGGATGCCTTCGTGGAGGACTTTTAAGGCAAAATGGCTCGTATTCAAATTACACATGGAGGAAACGGCCGGTCCGTTTGCCTGTGTTGGGTTCCGGGACGAAATTTTGGTATTCAACGAATCTTGGCCGCCGGTGGAGCTTGCATTTTTCGAAAATTTTAGCTTAAATTCGTTTTTTACATGGCTCTTTTCCCATTTAAGAGTTTCGAGCAAGATGCAAGATTGTGACCAAGATTCTCATATTCCTCAGCAATTAGTGCTATCTACCCATTACCGATATCCAAAATTTAATTTGAATTCCTGCAGTGATTTATAGATTAGAAAGGTGTTCCAAACTTCTAAATTACTCTGCACTTCCATTCATAATATTTAACAAAACTGCTAATGCTATAAAGATGTATATTGATATTTTGTCCAAACAATTCATTTAAGCATTCATAATAAGCTCCAGTTCATCTGCGAATCTTCTCTATGCTCCATTTTATTATAAAAACGAACTGCTTAGACTTTTAACTTTCGTCATATACTGTACATTTCGTCATATACTACGTCATATACTGTTATGAATATTTTTAAAAAGCCACAAAGAAAGATAATAGATGCAAGTAGCATCGAGAGGTTTGGGAATTACTTGATGAATATTTCTGTTTGTAAAACAAAATTAAACCTTTTTTAAATCTAAAGGAATCTAAGTCATTAACAAGGAATTTAAAGATGCTGATAAAAACAGACCTGTAAATCGAAAATACTTTGTACGAGTAAAAAATGCATATATACAAAAACAAATTAAAGCATATTTCGAACAGAAATTAAACTTTCTATTTTGTATATGCAAATAGTCTACATACTATAGTTAAGGCATACTAATATGCAAATATTTCATGTATAACTTCAGATAGCTCTTCTTCAGAGAGATGAACCAATTATATTTTTTCTATGACAGAATAAAGAAAGTAATAGCTAGGAGAGGTTCGGAAATCATAGTATTTATTTTTAAATAACTTCCATTTTTGTAGAACGAAATGGCAACAAAAAATAATCTGATTATAAATATTTATGGTCTTGATCTCGAAATTCTGCATTAGAATTATTAAAGAATCTCATCAGTTTACTAAGAACTATTAAGAAATCTCACTTCGAAGAAAAAAAAACTTTCTGAGGTAAAGGTTAATAATGTAAATGGATAACGCGCATCATTTTAGCCAAAGAAAAATGCATAATACAATATTTCAGTTACTTAGAAACAGTTTAATGGAAGATCGGTGATGATCTATAAGAATCGCCTGTTTTCTATCTTAAGCATGATATTTGAACTGGATTTGTGAAAAATTCGAAACTTTAGATATTTCAGCATGCAGTCCACCTTAAAAATCTAAATCAGCTTAATGATTTTTTAGCATTTATTTTTACATTATTTTTTATGAAGTATTTCTTAAGCATCACCATACTTCTAAAATTTGAAAAACATTTTGTGTAGACAATTTACATTTAAAAGAAAATCAATATATTCTTATATTTTGTCGTATATGCAACTAAAGCAAAATTATTCTTGATATACATGGTCAATAAAGATAGTGTAAGATTTTTTTCTTATGGAAACTGAGGAAACAAAAGCTTATTCATTTTGGCGGGAAAGGGAGAGATAAAATATTTCATAATAGAAAAGGATTGCTACGAATTTTCAGGGTAAGAAATGATTTTTAGCATTATTTTACAACAAAAAGTCTGTACTTGGAACATTTCATTTATGCTTTATATGTAACTTCGAGGAAACATACAGACTGATGCATAAAAGAATGAAAATCTTAAAGAAAATAATATCAGTACTCGTAATCCCTTAATATCTTCACAAGAAAACTTTAAATCAAGTTTTTCTAAATCGCTTTCTGTCTAATTCTGGAAAGAAATCCAGACTATCTAAAGGAGATAAAGCTGAATATATTATTAAATTTTTTAAATTAGTATATGCATAGTAAGCCCTAGGTATCTGTAACAAAATGTGCCACAAAACTGCTAAATGAAGCTACAGAGATTATAGTATCGCTGTTGTCTTTCGATATATAATATCCCTGTAAATCGTTTGATATATCACTGTATATCTTTTTATGCATAGTACCACCGCATATCTTTTGATGCTTTTTATAGTAAAAGATTATATGTGAGTAAAGGCGAAGCTTAGCTTTGTATAACTGAAATTTCGATTCTTACGTTTTTGCAAAAGGCTTGCTTTTTTGCTCAAGATTAAATGCAAAACATTTATTACCTTCAAATAGACTTTAATGTTTAGCTTTTTATTTTTATTTTTGATTGAAAACATGATTTTTGCTCTATCGATATTATTCAGTTTTGGGAATAACGAAAGCAAATGCTGATCTTTGTTTTGGTGTTAAAAAAGTAAATATGATTTTAATGGTTTCAATTTAGATTTATTGATTATTTTTGTAATTTTAAATTTAAAATACAGATTTCCTTGCAGTCCATAATAATTAGCAAAGAATGCGAATTTTGCAACTGAATGTAACTTAGAATATATCTTATAATGAATCAAAACGGAAATACATTTAAAAACTGTCTATTGACTCGGAGAAAGTCATACACATTAGAAGACATCACGAGGTTAGACTCATTATTTTTATTGGTTTTCAGTATGTATAATGTTAATACCAGCCAGTTCCGTTTAAATATTTCTTTACAAATATGCTACAATTAGATAAGCGAATGTAATTTTCCCATTTGGGCATAAATTTACTTCAGAATTTATTAGATGGTCTCAGTTCTGAAATAAATAGTAATATTTTTATGCCTAAACAAGTCCAGTGATTTTAATTAGTGATTTTAATTACGGATGATATTTTTATGCGTTTAATTGTTTATAATTTTTTTATTCAAACTAGTTTAATAAAACGATATATGTTATTATTTCAGAAATCTACCATTAGCCATAGCCATTGGAATACCTTTAGTAACACTGTGTTACGTGTTGGTGAACGTATCTTATATATCTGTGATGTCATCGGCAGAGTTACTTGCTTCAGAAGCCGTGGCTGTGGTAAGTCAGTTTATGTGTTCTTTCTAGGAAAAGTCACGATAAAAGTGTAACTTCTCAATATATAAAATACTTAGCAAAAATTTTAAAACTGACATATGAAAGATCAATCACATAATAGAAAAGTTTGGAAAACTTTCTTCTTTTTGAATACTTTCATCACGAAAGTTTGAAAAATATTTATATTTTAATTCTGCTGGAGACTTTTTATTTGAATTTTTGTTTTTTCTGTAACATACATCCGCAAAATTCTCAGTCGAATAACTAAATCATTTAATTAAAATTATGGAAAAAATTAGAAATATTATGAGAGATAATACTTCAATTTTAATAAGGTTAACACAAATGAGAACAAAATAAGAAAAAAAAAAAGTCTGATGTGTTGTACACCACATGACTTCCTTCTACGGAGTACTAAATTATACGCATTTTTTGCTGCATATAATTTAAATGCATTTTCTCGAACTTCATTTCTTGAGATATATTTATCATTCAATAAATTCAGTTGTCACTTCGCGCAAGGCAAAAATACATAAAACCTCAAATATCTTAATTAAAAATTGAAAAATATAGAAAAATATAAAACACCAAATACAGTTAAAACAATTGAAAAATAATATTTACAATTAAAATTAAAGTTCCTATGCAAAAACAAGGAATTCGGCCAGCGGGCTAGAAGGCAGATTTTTCGGCGCACAAAATTGAAAGATTACTTTTGGTCCCACTCAGCTAAAAGACACTGAAGGTGCAGAAGCTGACTTAATTCACTTTTCTGCTAAGTTTCAAATGTAAACGAGTATGGCTGTTTAAGTTTAAAAAAAAATTAGGCCTGGCCGCATTTAAAGAACTTTTAAATTGTTGACAATTCTAGTACTGCTGCATGCAGATAAACTAAAGGCATAAAATCCTTAACTGTATGATAAGAAAAAAAACATAATTCAATCATTTTTATAGCAAAAAATGAACAAATATGATATCCGAAATCTTTGAAATATGATATCCGAAAATTTTTGCGATTACAATATTTCCTTTACTTTATACAAAGAAGTAAATACAGATTAACAAAATGAGAACTCGAGCAGCGAATCTCCAAACTTTTTTGTTGCATCGTCCCCTTTTTTAAAGAAAGGGTCTTCTTCACTGACACTTTTACATTTTTCTCTATACTATACAGTAAACATAAAAACTTAAACATAACTAGTTTAAAATTTTTAACAAAAGTTTGAAAAATGTATTTTTTTTTTAATTTTATTTTACGTTTATTTTTTGTGTTAAAATTATTTTTGATTTTACAAGTATAAAGAAGTTTTCAGAAATAAAATCAGACTCTAGATGCAATTTTAACTATCGCGACGGGGCGCGATTAATGCATCGATACAATTTTCCTTTAATATTTGGCATAAAATTGCTTAATTATATTCTTAAATCACCTCGTTCGAAAATGCCCAACCTATTCTTTGTTTTGCAGTCTAGTTTTACGGTCTTCATATTTTTTATTATGTTTTCTTGACTTCTTGCGATTCACTATTTTCTATTACATTTATCGCACAAAAATTTTATATATTTAAAAAATATGATTAATTAAAAAAACATGCGAAATAATTTTAGTGTATAGACTATTATATTATAAGGTACTTATCCCACCTTCCTAGCGTGCCTTCGTGGTGTAGTGGTTCTGCACATTGGGCCGGTATTCCAGAGGTCCGTGGTTCGACTCCCGGCGAAGACGTTGCTAATTTTTCATCTCTCCGACCTTCCCAAAAATACCTAATGTCTCTACAATATTTATTTTATATGACTTCCTCCTTCTTACATAACTCAGCTTTATATCAGTAAACAATTAATTATCAATTCTTTTAGTAAACATTTTGGAGGATCTTTATTATATCGATCAATTGCCGGTGCACAATCGACTATCGGCCCCTTTATTGTCATTGGACCCTACGAAATCCCAGAAGGTCATTATTGACTCTGAGGGATCCCCTGGTTTATAGCCTTTGAGGAATTTTAGTGTTGGGAGGCTTTGGTTGAGTAAATGACGCAATGGTCATTCCTTGCTTTTTATCGAAGCAATATAAATTATCTAAAGCTTGATAATTTTTGAAATTTTGTCTTTCCCAACTAAAAGTATCCAAATTTGAATCTATGGGTATTAGAAAGTATCAATGAATTTAATCTTTAACTTTTCATATAAGCCAAAATTTAAAAAAAAAAATTCAAACTTATAGCTATTCCACTTGCATTGTAGGAAAATGTCCCGAGTTAAAGAGAAGCCAGATAAATAATTTGTTTTAAATAGAAGCTCGAAACCTAGTAAAATCAGAACCTATAATGAAAGAAATAAGATTCAAATCCTTTCATCCTTACGAGAATAATCTGAACCACAGTTTAGTTTGCAATAACAGTTTAGTTAATAAGTAACACATTGTTTAGGTTACTGTAAATAATTCTTTCACGGAAATCTTTTATGTTTTCCTGAAATTCCGATATTCTAATTTATTTAACGTTTGTGGGTTATGCATCTCTATAATTTGCATTAGTAGATAATAATAATATTATAATAAGTAAAATGATATACATGTGTTCGATACATAGGTGGATCACCAAATAATAACATTAAAGTACTTTATATGCCTCCTGAGTTTGCGATACTGCATCTAGCTGAAGTAGGAGAAATTAATTTTTCCTTTTATAGTTCTTCAATAGAACGATAGAAATTTTCCTACCAATTTCTATCGTCATAAACATTAAAAATATTTCTATTTACTATTATTGCTGTTCAACAATTAACCAATTTATTCAAACTTATGTGTTATAATTCCTAGATCTTAGTCCTTCAATTATTCATGAAAAATAAATAATAACAATTCTAGAAATTTCTTTGTATATTAGTTTATAAAATATTTTTTGTTTGTTTGTTTGTTTTCAGACATGGGCCCATCGTGTCTTAGGCGTTTTATCATTTGTGATGCCCATATCAGTTATTCTCAGCACATTCGGAGCTGGAAACGGATCTTGCTTCACTGGAGGAAGGTGAATATTAAAACTTAATGTCAAAATGAATGTAACACCGACCCTATATCTAATTCTAATAGATCAATATTTAACTTTGTTTTTAGTTTTCCTTATAAATTACCTAGAATGTCATTTGTTTAAAATTTCAAAACTGTTTAAATGTTTAAAAAATTTCAAGATTAATAAAATGGAGTATTTTTCGTTCTGAATTATTAATTGATTACAGGGTAGAACTTCAAAGTTTTTAGAAGTAAATTAATTTCTGATATGTTTTACACATTCCCATTTTGCAGTTTCTTTCCCATAAATTGAGTTTTAATTTATTTTTCGTTCTAAATGAGAAAGCATAATTTCAGAGGAATGCAGTTTGTTTTTGCTAATTTAAAACTCTTTATTTGATAAATTTAAATAATACATTGCTTATCAGTGCAAAACAAAGTGAGCCATTTAAATAATATACGTTTAAGTATTACTTTGATATCGTTATGGCAAATAAGTCTATTACGAAATCGGGATGCGATGCTTTAAGGAACTAACTTTTGTTATACCATTAATGCAATTGATAAGAGGTATTGTTTTGTAATACAGAAGTTCAGCAGTTATATGTTATATATGAATTTTCAAAATGCTTCTTTTTTAACCCATGCGCTGTCATCTGTGTAATGCGAGATAAATGTATTCAGTGTTGCCCAAATTTGACAGATTTTTCTTTTTTATATTATTTTCTTTAATTCTTGGCCTTTACATGTGAAACATTTCGTTATTTTATACATTATATTTTATGATAATTATCCTTTTTTTTTTTTTTTTTTTTTTTGTTTGAAACTGTACTATCACTTTTCGTTAGCTCTCACCAAAATGTAAATGAATTAATAATACTTATGTCAGAGTTTTGAAAGTTTTATGGAGTTTTGTGGCAGCAACGCTTGACGTAGCACATTTCTCATCTCATTCTCAGATACAGTAGTTTTCCGGCTTTAGCCACTTTGCTAGCCGAAGTAAATCGCACATTTAGAAAACTGAGACAGAGCTTAGTTATAGGCTAGTTTTGAATTGCAGTCTCCCAGATCAAGCAATTTAAATTTTAATTACAACTTTCTTTTAACCGAGACCGCAAGAAACGGAGTTTTAATTTGTATGCACAAAATCGTGTATTTATTCCATTTAAAGCTTTTAATAGAAAAGTTGTTTAAAACTTTAGGACTTTATTGTAATTTCACAAACGGAGCGATGACTCGCTTGTCAGTCTTAGTAGGGTTCAAGAACTTTAGTTTATTTACATACAACAACAGCCTTACAGTTTCACACGCAGCATTTCTCTCAAATATCTCTCATTACTATTCCCCAAGAAAAGCTATGAAATTATTACTTTCCAATTGCGTTGCAATAAATAATGCCTCATTTTTGCATCAATAATTAGTATAATAAACATTCCAAAGTCCTTTATTTACATAAAAACGACTTTTCTTCAAGCAGAAAATCTATACTTTTTCCAGTTTTGATTAAATATAAATTTCATCTATCATTTAAAACAATTAAATGTTTTTCTTTGATGCTAAATCGCTATTATCTTTTATTCTTTGACATAATTTTGCATTCTTTTCATTAATCAGATTATGCTACGTAGCAGCACGTGAAGGTCATCTTGTGGACATTTTATCGTATCTACATGTGCGCCGTCTCACACCATCTCCAGCTCTCATCTTCAACGTAATACTTTTTATTTCTTAAAATTCTTAATTATCATGCTAAGATAAAATTATCTCTTTATACCATTATTACTTTATAGCTAATATGCTACTTGATCTAACCGAAAGTAATGCAATAAAAACTGGCAGTAATATGATTCAAATAAATTTAATTTTTTCTGGGTGAACTGCTTGCATAGTTTATTAGTAGAAGTATGGTGAAATAGTTTTCGAAAATTGTTTGGTTTATTTACATATGCTTATGTTTTTCAACTAATTTGAATAATTGTTTTCAGTTATTCTCAATGAAATCAATTTGCATGGATAAATAATGCTCGAACTATGCTGTTCATTTACAGACAATTAAAATATTTTCCTGTGGTTATAAAGGAAGGTGTAATATGTTTTTAAGCGCCCTGAAAGTACAGCGGCAAGTGATATTAATATAAATCAAAGAACATAATAAAACTTTTTTTTACATGAATAAATGTAGGAGAGAGAAAAAGTGCACACTGAGAGAGAGAAACTGTTTTATAATTTTAAATGTGGGCAAAAGGCAACCTTAGACAGATGTTTTAAAATTGACGCCGTCGATTTTTGCTTAATTTTGAATGAAATACAAATACGAATATTAAAATTCTGTAACCAAATCTTAATCAAGAAGTTAATCATATTGAGAAGACTGAGGGAAATGCATGTTTATTATGGTAAAGATATATAATGTATTTCAAGTTCTAATAAGTTTTATAACCTTAACAGGCTGTCTTGGCTATATGCATGATCATTCCTGGAGATATTGGGAGCCTCATAGACTTCTTCAGCTTCACAGCATGGCTCTTCTATGGTTTAACTTTTCTCGCCCTCATAGTTATGCGACACACCAAGAAGGATCTAAGAAGACCTTACAAGGTAATTTTACAAACATTCATTTCATTTGACGTTGGTAAAACATTTAGCTTACCTTTTCAATCTTTTTTTAACGTTAAATTACGTTATGCTGCCAAACCATTTATAATCCACATGGTGCGGCAAGTATTTTTTTGTCCATGTGGTTTAAAATTTATTTGTCCTCCACGTGACCATTCAAATTACTTGCTCTCAGAGGTAATTCCATTTGAAGGATCAATATTTAAAAAAATAATTTATCTTTTAAATTATAAAAACTATATTGGTGAGCAAACTGAACAATTTATAAATAAAGTTTATATTCCTTAACAATTTATAGCTTTATGCCCCAATTCTATAAAAATGTAACACACTTAATTCATGCATTTATGATATACATATATAATTATATAATATTTTATAAGCACTTTCACAATTTTTATGAGGAATAAAATATGGCTGTAGCACCAGAAATTACTTATCTCAGCATGCTTGCGCACCATTATGGGTTTTAAAACTTACTATTATTTTATTTATTTATTTATTTATTATTTCTGAAAAAGCCATTATAGCTTTCTTTATTCTAACTCTACTACTGAAAACTGATGCATGAAATTGCATAAATTTTATATTTTATAATGAACGAAAAAATCTTTTATGAACGCAAATGTGTCAGTACATAACCGTGACTGATTATCTGTTAACACATTTGTTATTAAACCATTTATCTGCTATTCCCGTACCATTTTTGGAAATGTTTTTATTATTTTTCCTGTTATTAATATTAGCCCAAATGGGCGTTACCCCAAAAGAGCTATTAATCTCTAAACGGCATTTTGCGTTGAATCACTCAAAGCGCTGAAATCACTTTTCAAATTGTTGCCACCAAATATTATCGCCCTGTATCATATTTAAAGAAACTAAATAATAAAGAATCTACATGAATGTAGGTATGTTTCTTGCATTGTGATAGAACACCGGGACCTAGAGTCATCAAATTTTGAATAATATAGTCCTCCACTCGAACATGGACGCCTGGTAGCCCGAATTTGAAATTTGGAATATGTTTTATCGTCTATTTCATAATTTGTAAGACTTTAACAAGTTTTTGATTTAAAAAAATTCAACAATTTCAAAGTGAGCAATGGCAACACTGTAGAGAATAAACCTTTTTTATCTCTATCGCGCGAGGCTGTCTACGGGAAATTCTAAATATATGCTGTTTTAAAATACATTTAACATAATATGGCGTCAGCCCAAATGCTCTCGAAATGTGTACGTGTCTGTAAATGAGAAAAAAACGCCCATTTGGGAGTAATATAAAACTGAAAGCTTTCAGATTTTATTATTATTACTATTATTTTTATTACTTCTAGTAATAGTTCATAGTACAAGATTATTTATTAGTGTATTGAAGAGTACAAAAATGTATTATTTTCAAAATTATGAAAAAGTATTAGTTTCAAATTGTATATTAACACAGTAATTTCAGATATTATTAGAGTGTACAAATTTGCTTCCAAATTGCTTCAAGAATTGCGAACATGCCGAAAGTGCATATATTTGTTTCTTTTACATATTTTGCATCTAATAGTTTGATAATAAAAGGTAAATGCAAAAATATTAGAAACACTATAATATACCTGAATTTGGTTAGTTAAAAGTTAATAATTTTCTGTGATAAGACGAATACGGGTAATTTTACGACAAACTATACATAGCTGTCAACCTTGAAAAATGAATAACTTTGCTCGCGCAAACTGGGTTTCCGGAAGTTTTTCGCGGTGCCCGGACATGATATTTCAAAAGAACTCCAAATTTACTTAAATTCGCTTTACAATGCATTACTGAACTATTTATAGTATGATTATGATGGAAAATGTATCAAAATTTAATTAAATATTCTAAATTTTATATTCTTTCGCTAAACTCACTTTGTAATTTTCTTACACATTTATACTAAGAAAATCCTGAGTAAGCTCCAAAGGTCTCCCACCCCTCTTTCCATAGTACCAGCCTCTCAAGAGTACTTTTGGTTCGCCGCATATGTAGAATGCCCCCCATACCACACAGACACTGTACATTTATAAACATCCATGCCTTTTCCGAGATTCGGATCCGGACCCTTCGGTATTTCGGTATCGCAGAAGGCTCCTCTAACCACGATACCATCTGGGTAGCTATATAAAACGTTCGACAAGTATCTATAGTAATGACTAATGGTTAAAAATTATTAAAAAAAAAAAAGAAGAAGATTCGGCGATCGGGGAGAAGACAGGGAGATATGTTGAAAAACCGGGAGAACTGGCAGCTATGCAAATGTGTAAGATGTTATTGTATGTGTTAAATCATCTAAAACTTGAAATCTTTTATTCAACAATTATTAAGACCCAAATTATCTAACGAGTCAAATGAGGGAACGTGTAAAACTCGCTAGAAATTGCATAGGCATGAGAAGGAAAGAATTAAAAAGTAGGGAATAAATCCAACATTAGAGTTGAACATACACTTCGAGACTTGACAATAACTATAAATCAAATTAAATAATAAAAAAATTAAAAGGGAAAAGAAATAAAATCGCATCCGTACAAGTATTGCCGGAATATGGCGCAAAGTGCAACATCTCCTGCTCGATGATAAACAAGGCCTAAAAGCCACATGACGTTAGAAAATGCCGGACAGTATTTCCAGTTTGACTTGTGTCGAATGGAAAGAGAGTGTCAGCGCGCTTTTACTCTGTGTCAGATAAAAGAATGTCTGGAACAACAAAAGGATGATAAGAAGAATCGAGATGGTAGAATGGGATATTTCACTTAGCCGCCATCAGTCGGCGAAGAAAGATGTAATGAATAAGAATAGACAAGCAACGTGAAAAAATGTTGGATCAGTAAGGTAGTAAGTACTTCAAATAATTAACAAAATGTTAGGTAAGAATATCCGAAGTATATTTATGTTTTTGTCTAGGAAAAGGTGAGCATCGCAATGAACTGATACAGCTGTTTGGATGTAATAGTACAAAAAGGAAAAAAATTGTTGCAAGTTTTTTATATAATTTTGTATAGTATCAATTTGAAGATCTCTGTGAATATATGAATTTGAGATGAACCAGGGTGCATTAATAATTTCACGAAGGATTTTATTTTGAATAACTTGGATCTTTTTTATGTGGGTTTTAACGGCGTGTCCCCATACTGTACTGGAGTAAAGTAAAGTACGTCTAAGGATGGACTTGTATAAAACAAGTTTATTGTTACTGAGAGAAGAATCTTGAGTTGCAGAAGAGTACCCATACATCACAGATACAAGAAGAATAGCATCATAACAGCTGAAGTCTATGCGAAAACCACGAGACAAGTCCGTGTGCTAGCGCCATCTAATACAGCCCTCTAGAACTAAAATGAGAAAATTAATTAATCATCATGCAATAAGCGAACTAAATTGTAAGTCCGCTTTGATCATCTCTTCAACGATCTTCAACGATCCATTTTTCTTGAGGTGACTGTAGGTTTTTACACTTTTCAGCAAACTCCATAAATTTGCAGATCAATTTCTTGAGGTTTTCGTCCAACTCGAAATCCTTTGAGCCTTGTAAAACAGCATCGGAGTAGGATTTCTAACTTGAAGGTTTTCTTCTAGGTTCTCCCTTCTCATTCGACCAGGACTTGCTTGAAAAGCACCAGGGACTCGCTGATTGGTCGATAGAGATCGCTTCTTCGGAGGTTCATTTTTTCGATCTTTTGGTCGAAATTCGCAAATTTTTGCAACGCTACATGTTCCAGTTTACAGTTGACACACGTAGGTTTCGCTTCTTTCTGCAGTTTGCAAGTGTAGGTAAGATGACCTTCACCGCACTTCAGACATCTAGGGAGATTGTTGCAGAACAATTGCGCGTGACCATATCTTTGACACCGATAACACATCATAGTGTTCCTATTACTTTTAAACTTTTTAAAAGGAGAGACGCAGAAAACGGGAAGTTTCATTTCTGAACCGTCAGTTTTCCGTGTGAACTGGGATACCTTGATCACAGGAAATCCTTCTTTGCATTGCTCCTTCTTGATTTCCTCAGTAAAAGAATCTTCAGGAAGACCTCTGACTACAAATTTCGAAGGAGTGCCCTTCTTGCCTCTAAACATGCTAAACTGAATTTCCATCTTCATCAGGATAGCAAGCGCTCTGTCACGTTGGCTGGCAGAATCAAACAGAATTGTTATTTTCTGTCTGATCAGCATACCCGTAAATTTCTGAACTCCGTGTTTGAAGAAAAGACTTCTAATTTCACTCCATGAAAACTCCGGTCGAGGACAAATGATCGGCGGGACCCTTTCTTTCTTAGAAATCTGCGAGGAAACGTCAGCGTTTCAGGCAAGTCATCTTTCGTAGAAGTTTCATGATTAATATTTATGGGTTCCGGAACGGGAACAGAAGACAACACATCAAAATTATTACTCGTGGAAATATCCGCGAGAGTATTCGAAGAATGCATTGCTTTTACAGGAGTTTTGCTTGGTTCAGGAGTCCGAACAGTAGGCATCTAAGCGTTTTTCTGTGGTGGTATCCACTCGTCATCTTCTTTCGCCACTGATTTCGGTTTAGAGTTCTTCTTACGAACAGAGTCAGTAGGTGCTGATTTTGAAGCAAACCTATTTCTACGAATATCTTGACCCGGAGAAGTTCAAAAAATAAATAAATAAAAATAATAAAATAAAATCGGAACGCTTTCAGATTTTATATTACGCCCAAACAGGCGTTTTTTTCATTTACAAACATATACACGTTCCGAGACTATTTGGTCTAACGCCACATTGTGCTAAAAATATTTAACGCATTTTTAGAATTAGCGATAGCCAGTCTCGCGCTGGAGATAAAAATGTTTTATTCTCTACAATGCTTTGAAATTGTTGAGTTTTTAATCAAAAATTCGTTTAAGTTTTACGAAAAATTATATTTAAAAATAATATAATTTTTCGTAAAACTTAAACGAATTTTTAAAATTATATTAAAATTATATTACTTTTTAAAATATGAAATAGATAGCAAAACCAATTCCAAATTCGGGCTTCCAGGTGCCATTGTTCGGGTGGAAGACTATGTTATTCAAAATTTAATTACTCTAGGTATTCTTTTTCAGTGTGCGAGAAACATACATACATTCATGTAGATTCTTCATTATTTAGTTTCTTTGAATATTATACAGGGTGGTAATATTTTGTGGCAACAGTTTGAAAATTGATTCAGACATTTAAAGTGATTCAACGCAAAATGCCGTTTTGAAATTAATAGCTCTTCTGAGCTATGTTAGCTATAAACGTAATTCCATCATCCTCTTATTTCTTTTCAGTAATTTCGAGAAATAGAAAGCACTAGAAATATCTCGTGACCGGTTGAAAGCTATAACAGGCCGGAAAGAAAGCGTCTAAGTTCAGTTGTTGTTGAGAGTTGTTTAGGTCCGCGTGAACTGAGGTATTTGAGTTAGCTTTCTCTTTAGATGCGCTTTGCATTGCGTTGATGTAACGTTTTCAGTACTTTGAAGTATAACTACTGATTACACTGCATGATATTGTGAACAATTTGTACGAATATCTGTGAGGAAAATTCCAGAGTTCTGATATATTTCTTTTGATAAGAATAAAGTTTATTAACCTTTTGTCGGACTTGTGCATTCAGTCTATTACGAACCCGTACGCACGTAACAATATTAAACAAAGAATGATCAATTATTTTATTGTCTTATTTTACAACGTAACTCAAACTTTCTACAACAATAAACAATAAAGTTAATAAAATAACTCACGGAATTAATCAGAACTTTCACTGTATATAATGTTTCGGGTAAAAACATTGTTAAACATCAATAAATATTGATCAGTTAGGTGCGCCTATGATGTACACATTTATTTCTCTTCAACGTTATTTATATTAGACATTTCTGAAAATTAATTTAAAAAATTAAAACGCTTATCTTTTTCGTCACTTCAAAATTTAAATTAGCTGTCAAGAAGCGGATAAAAGACATTTCATAAAAAGGCCTTATGAAGAAGTTCTAATGCAGTATGAATAATTTGCAAAATACTGGAATCCTAAATTAAAATTTGTTTTAGGTTCCAATCGTCATTGCGTACATTGTACTTTTCATCTCCATGTTCCTGGTGGTAGCTCCGATTGCACAAGATCCTCAAATCGAATACCTTTATGCCTCTCTGTTTGTGCTGTCGGGTCTCCTGATCTACATTCCCTTTGTCCATTATAAAATACACCTCAACATTATGGGTAATTATTACCTTTTCTTATTTGTTCTTATTCGTAACTGCTTTTGGCTTGATAAACGTTTTTGAAGATTCTATACAAGGATAATTCAGTTTATTCTAACTGTAATCATTACGAGTAGTTAACATTTTTTTATCTGACAGCTTTTTGCTTTAAGTTCATTTGTATTCAGAATTACAACATATTACTTAAATATTACTTTAAAAAGACTCACCAAAGCATGTGTATTATTAGAGATTCAATCATGAAGGTTAACAATCATACATTTGTGTACATTAAATAACGTTTAACAAAAGCAGGAAATCGCTCAACGTCATGCTAATGCAAAATTTGAATGTATTATGATTTTCTTAAAAACTTAACTGATATCTTTGGGTATGTCTAACAGAAAGTCACAGTAATTTTTTTCAGTAGATCTAGAATAAAATGTCATTTTGAAATAATTGTAATCTCGAAGTTCATTTTCTCGCTGAATGTTAATATATGTACAATTTGTAATATTAGAGTACTTATTTCCTTATTCAAAATCCTATACATATACTGGCGTTTAAAATTAAGATTATTTTCACATTTGCTGGAATACTTCTAGAAGTAATGGGCATATTTTATTGAAATTTTTATTGCCATAAGCCGATATAATGCACTGTTGGTCATTAAAATTGCAACACCACGAAGGAAAGTAAATACAAAAAAGATATTTATTGCACTTAAATAGTATGGCATGAAGACAAAATGATTAAATTTGTAAGCATTTTGGAGGTTTACAGAGTTGCGAAATTAGTAGAAACAGCTGCTACCTCTGGCAGCTAAAACAGCCATTACCCCATTAGGCATGGAGTCAAACTGGGCTTGGATGGCAGAAATGGAGAATTCATTCTATACTGCTTCAAGTCTATGCTACACTTCATCAACCGTAGTAGATGGAAAGTGGTGGCGGGCCAGTCTCTCAGCAACCCATGACCAGATATTTTCAATGGGTGACAGATCTAGAGACAGTGGGGGACCATGGTCAGGGTAGAAATCGAATACCCTGTGTACCGAGGAAGGTCAGAACACGATGTGCAACATGTGCTCTTGCATTATCTCGTTGAAACATGGCGTTTGGGGGCCTCTAAGATAGGGCACAATCACAGAACGTAAGATGTCAGAAGTGTACTCATATGCGTTCAAATCACCGTCGATCCGAACTAGAGATGTGCATGTCGTTACCCAATAGCTGCCCAAACTATCACACTAAGTGCAGGGCCCTTATGCCGATATCGAATGCAAACAGGCGATGTGCAGTCTTCTCAGACACTCCAGACATGTATACGGTCATCAGAATACTGCACGTAGAACCAGGACTAATTTGAAAAGGTGGCATTGTGCAATTCCTGTACCCAGCTTTGTCGTTTGGCGCACCAGAGTCGCCGTCTCTATATGTTGCAGTTTCAAGGGAACCCGAAGTAATGGTCACCCTGCTGATAGTCCACGCTGCTGCTAACGTCGACGTACCTTACGAGCTGATCCTACGCATTCTGCAAACGTGCCCATTTCCTGACTAATGGTCCGTAATGTGGTCGTATGGTTTTGCAGGGCTGACCTCACAATGTCTTTCTTCTCTGGCGTTAGTCATGAGAGGGCGTTGAGATCCCGCATGCCGTTCAGTATGACTCTCAGCAATCCATTGATTCCATATTCGCATGACAGTGGTTGGATATCGACCAGTGAGACCGGCGATATCACGGAACGATAGTCTACACTTTCGATAAGCAACGATCCTGCCTCTATCGAATTTCTAAACTTGTTGGTAAGCGTCTCCTCTTCCTTTTTGAGGCATAATAGGATATTCTGAGCAAACTCCAACCTTACAAAGCACTTTCCGAATGAGAAATCCACTGCACAACTTTTCTTTTATGCAGTGCTTCAGATGTTGTTTCTCCCTCCTACGTCGTCTAAATGCGCTGAAATACTAAGCATTTGCATATCCCAACTTCTTCCTTTCATGTGACTTTGACGTTCGTCAGATCATTCCTTTCTGGTGTGCAATTTTAATGGCCAGCAGTGTACAATATATATATCATATAATAGCCGTAGTACGCAAGTATGACTCTTAGGTGCAGGAAAGTTTGAAACATCGGTTCCAAGATCGAACAGAAAGGAATACTAATAAAATTTATGATCCTCTCGAAGAATCTTACAACTCCTCACAGCGTAACTTCATACGGAGATCGGGGATCAAAATATAACTATTCGGTAACAGGGTTACTTTTCCTCATGTTTTAATATGTGTCTAAGGTGGTAACATTGGTTCAGAGGTAAGACCAGTGGGCAGGCAAAGTAGGTGTGCCTTATAGATGACAAGAATGTGAACGCCGATTTTTAGGCGCTAAAGAAAAGAACATGAGATAACTAAAACTTATCAATGAGGATTTTGAAAGCTGTTTGTGTTTTCATATTTAATGTTTATAAATCTCTGTCTCAGTTCCATTTCCACCGCAATATTGTTTTCAGGTCCTGGAAGGATCTAGGAGGCGAATGGTGAGTTGTATTTCTCCTCCGTGAGAGTCGCTGGTGAAATCCATGCGATTAATATTCTCACGTTCCCAGCAGTACACGTTCCAGATCCACCAGGTAGGGGTCTAAGATTTAGTTTGTTTGCGAGCCCTGCTGCTTGCGTTCCCCTCACAAGAAAGCCAGTTAAGTACTGACTTTAAACCAAGCATCAGTGATAGACCGTTCTCTTTATGGATAAGTTCCTCTTGAGCCTAACCACTGATTCTCGAAGTACCTTCATGTAGACCGCCATCTAGCCAAGGACCCGCTATCTTTCCTCTAGCATATGAGAAAAAGACCAGTATGGTAGAGGAGGGTTGATGCTGTGGACAGGCAACCATGTTGGAGGGACGCATATACTTTTGGATTTTTGACAAACGCTATAACTGCCGCGAGGTTCGCATTTACAGATGTGCAGTTGCTCCTAAATTCATTTTCACGGTTAACAACGTTCATCCACCTCGAGCTAATTTGGTAGGTGATTTTCTGGAATATTAATTGCATGGATTGGACAGCCATATTTTCAGAACTAAATCATATGTGACATTTTGCGACACTCTAGAAATCTGTGAAAGGATAATTGCAACTCACGTTTTCACTTTCAGAACCCTCCGGGACCTGAAAACAAATTGCTGCAGGAGTGGAACTGACTATCATAGGAATTCATGAACTGCCTAACCTGCGTCAGTGAGCCTTAAACGTGTTAAATGTGATTATGCATGTATACTGTGACTTATGTAAGGCATATTTTTATACTACATCAAACTAATATGGTAATGCCGAGTTTATTAAAATAGGTAAATCAGATCTGGAAATAATGGACCAAATGTGAAAATGCTCCTAATTTTGAACACGAGTGTATATGAATATTCCTATACACTCGTCTATATATATGTTCGTATATACACTCATATATATATATATGATGTACCAGCTTTTGTCGCAGGTTAAATTATCAGACGATAAGTTTTAAAAAACAGGATCCATTTATTATATTTCAGGAGAAAATAGCAGTTACAAAATCAGATATCCGGAGTAAATAAAAAAGAATTACTAATAACTTTTTGTTTGAAGTTTACTGCATCGTGACATTAAAGAAAAAGCCCCGATATTCTTTTGCGAGTCTTTTTATAGCCTCTGGAAAGGCGGAGCTTGCAAGAAATGACGTCAGCCTCGTCAGCCAATCCAGTTCGCTTTAGATATCTCCAGAACATTCTAAAACTGTACGTGTAGAAAAGGCGGGAAAAACAACTTGACTACGGGGCTGTGGATTTAATTCCGCGTACTTTCAAATAAGAGAACGTCGCCATTAAAAATGAAAAGAACATACAGTTAGAATTTTAAGTGTATTCTTGACTATGGAATTTTATTATTACAAATATATATATATATATATATCGGAAAGCAAACAGATCCTCATTCATCAAATTCCTCTCTTTCTATACTTTTTATTAGATGTCAATAGCAAATAAAAAGTAATATGTTGGGGATTCTTTTGAAAACATATTTTAAAACTATTCATCCAAAGGAAAATCAACTAAATTTAAAGTGCGATTAGCTAATCTTTTCCTTTTCTTGTCGTTGCAGGAAATATTACCATATTTTGCCAACTACTTCTTGAAGTAGCCCCTACCAAATATGTGCCCGACTGAAAATACCTGCTTGATGGTTAACTTAGGAAGTTCAAGAAGAGGGTGTCGACATCTGATTCTTGTTAAAGCCACTCAAAGTGATATATTCCAATCGAAGTTGGTGATAAACAAATTTAGAAATTAATAGAAATCAAATTTTTAAACAGCAAAGTAAATCCATTGTTTCGATATATCATCGAAATTTTGTTTCATCGATGTATTTCAGTGTCAATATTCCATTGGAGCTCAACATGCATTCGAACAGTACATTTACCGGTGCTCTTCCACAAACTGCATTGTTGCCACCCGGCGGTTTCGGAGAGAAAAAAGTATTCCGTGGGAATATTTATTTCCGAATCGTCTTTCATGTGATGAATGAGGTGTTTAGGTTTTAAAGACTAAGCTTGTTTGAAACTATTGTTTTGCTCATAACATATTAATGCATCAAAGTATCGTTTATATATATTTCATGATACTTTGATGCACGTGGTGCACTACAGTTGACAAATATACATACCATATTACTTAAATTACAGAGAAATTTTAATAGCATAATCTGTACTGAAATAAGTTGCTAGTCATCAATATTAATATTTTTCATGAATTTATCATGAAATCTTTTTTTTCATATATTTACATAATTTTTGTACTTTTGCTAAACTTTTATATCTCAAGTTTTGAATTTGTAACTCTGGAATCTAAGTAATATGGTAGAACACGTAAAATAAATTTATATCCTTGTTATATGCTTAACTATCATTTTTAAATTTAATATTTTCAGTCATCGAGAGTATCTAAATGTAATGCATTGATTAAACAGCTATGAAAACAGATGAAAGCGTTTTTAAGAAATCAAACATTTAGTATTTTCTTTCTTGGGAATGAAGATAAAAATAATCTGTTTTTAACGTAACGCTCCGTTAGTTCTGACTAAATGTTGTTGGTGGTCTAAAATCACTGAAATTTTACAACTGCTAAATCAAGAAAATTCTAAAAATGCTCTAATTTTTAACAAGAAGACTGTCATTTCAACTTGCACTTATCAAAATTCACTTTCTCAAGTTCCCTGTAAAGAGTTGTTCAGAAGCAATCTCCAATACGTACAACTAGAAGTTTTTATCATTTTCATTAGCACGGACTGACTTTTTTCTTTTCCCCTCTTGCAAAAATGATTGCAATTTTAATAACGTTTCTCTGTTTTTATTGAAACTTTTACTCAGTATTATTTACAAAATTCTGCATAGTATTTGTATCGGAATAAATCTTTTATGTTACTTTCTCCAAATAACAGATTCATTTAAATTTTAAATCTTAATTTCTCTAACTAAATTAAACTTTGCTAAAACTTTTGTTTTATTACCCATTAACAGCAATGTTTAGAAAGTACTGTTGCAAAATTTAGCAAACTTCAATCCTAGATTAGCGTCTATTTTTTAAAAAAAGGATTCTTTGGCTCTACAGACGAAATGACGCAAATATATTCTTGAATCTATTATGTACCTCTCAGAGGAGATTCTATTTATGAACTTAATTTTAACCTAGCAGCCTAGCTTAGGTTACAGAAATGTCCATGCGAGTTATTGTTAGCGTAAGAATAAAAAACTTGCAAACAGCCAAATAAATAATAACTAAAAGTTAGTTTGGACAACAGTTTGTGATATAACTTAAAATAATTTAGAATGTCAAAAACTGAAGACTCGCTACATTGTGAACAAATTTCAAATGTCGGCCTAAAATCACTTAAAGTTTGCAACAACTAAATAGATTAGTCTTTTAATTTCAATATTCGATTAGACTCTAAATTTTAATAAAAAGTTTCTCATTTTAATTTGTAATTGCCAAAATTCATTTCTCCAGTTCCCTGCCAGAGAACTTTCAGTGGTAACGACCAACGCAATGAACACAGCCAGAAGTGCTGAGAAATAATGGTATTTAAACTTACTTTGGCACGAGTGAGATTTTCATAAAACTTCTGAATTGGAGGATTAACCTTAACTTGAATTATAGAAAGCCAAGGAGGACAGAAAATGTAAAATTAAAATGTAACTTTTAGGATAATAACATAATTTTTGCAGCTAAGCAACAATATAGCTTATTTAAAGAATCTGTTTTTATTTCGACAATTCCGTGGAATGTCCTTTCCAATTTAGTGTTAATTTGCATTCAGAGTTTACCTTTTAAAGACATTTGTCTTAATACTTGTGTGTTTTATGTTTTAAGACGATTTTTCAGGGATACTTACTGATAAAATTGACAGATCAGATCAATGTTCAATCCTCATTAATACCAACTTTTAAAAGCAATGTTCGCAGTGAGCTGAATATTATCTCATAAGTTGTTACAACGAAAGAGGCTAAAAAAATTGATCTTGACGGTTATAAAACATCTTTGATTTTAATAAAAAAAAAAGAAATTCACATTCAGTGGAAACGTTAAAACGTTTTGCAATAGCAAATACCAGAGCTGATAACAATTTTAACAGCGTAGAGAAAACTACACTTCTACTATAAAAATTACAAAAAAAATTAATATTATTGCTATAAAAATATAATCTAAGCTAAGATATTTCATGACAGAGTTTTAAATTAGGTTTATTTCCCACTGATTTTTGTAAAAATAGAATTTAAATTTCAAGACATGCAATATAGAAATGTTACTTAAAGATGAGAAAACAGTTGTTCTGCAGCTGAGTATATAAGATATCACATTAGAAAGTTTTATTAATCCCGCAAGTGCTATAAAAACTCATAAAAATCCTGAATTAAATAGCATTATATCAAATAAGATTTAAAAATAAACAGTATTAGTTTTAGATAATAAAATTCCTTTTTATTAAAACTAGATATTTATTCCAAATTTAGCCATTTTTAAACATCAGCTCCATTTAATGAAATAAAGTAGTTTCATGGAACGTAATTTTTAAATGTTTGTTTTACAAATATTTATTTTTTACGAATTTACCCAAAATTTATGAAAGGTTACTCTGAGTATTAACTAACAACTATAACGGAACATATAATAGCTGTTAAGCTATATTCAGAATAAAGCTGTTACGGTAGAATATATATGACACACGTTTATTTAGGTTTTTCGGTGGAATATAGAGTTACAATGATTTCATATCACCACATACTTCTTTAATCATCTTTTGCTTTGCAAACAAAAGATTTTTCCCAGACATGTTTATAAAAATCTTACTTTCTTCCGCGTAATAAGTCCTAGCAGTTATTTTGAAATACGTTACTTTTCAATCGTAAGTACTCGCTCGTACTTCAATTTTTATAGTTAAAGTCATATGAAAGTATTATTGTGAATTGTAACTCATTTCTTTTATAAAAATTCTTTTCTAAAATCTCCCATTGTTTCAGAAGAAATTTATTCCCTTTTCTAAAGAAAGTATTTTTACATGCTTATTGGAGACATAACATCAGTTTAATATATTAAAAAATAATTAATTACGCAAATACAAGAATTTATAAATAGACACTGAACAATCGTTATCAATTACGGAAAATTTAAAGCTCCTTTATCACTCTTACAAAACCGTATGAAAATGCCGTGGTTCATTTTTACAATTCGTGCACCAAAACAAAACGCACGAAAATGAAAGCATGTTTATTTCGATTAGAGACTCGCTATCGTTCCTAATATATTTAAAGATTAATCACTGTGCCTGCAATAATGGCATGAAGATAAAGAGAATATCTAAAACTTGTTTTTGATATCAAATTAGTACATTAAATTGCGCAATTGCGAACTCATTCCTATTTTATCAACCTCTCGATGACTAGATGAAAAGAGAGAAAAGTGCACCATTAATCTAAAAAAAAGTTTCTATATTACTGTTATTTGTTTTAGAGAAATATAATGATTGTTGTTTTTATCATGGTACAGCTGAATTTTAAGTGACAGACAAACCTACTTTAGAACACATAGTGTTAAATGCAGTGCTGTTCAACACTTTGACCTAACTATATTAAGCAATAAGTCAAACAATGAATAAGCTCTATTTAATATCATATTCTATATCAAAGCAACACCAAACGGTAAATATAAACGATAAATACATTCACGCATTTCTTAAAATTCAATAAAACTTAATTTTAAGAAGAAAATTATGTTCATTCGATGCAGCTAAAAAATAAAAGGCATTCCTCGTTGAGCATTCAGTATATTTTAATATCAAAATTGTAATAAATATAAATATCTTTTACTATTAAAAAGGAAATAAGTTAAACTAAATTCACTGTAGTAAATATTAACAAATTTTTCGAAGCGCATGAATCTTGTAATAAAAGCCAAGGAATTGAAAGAACATGATTGTGCCCCATTGGATCTATTTATTGGTTTATTTCCTTTACTCATACATCCAGTAAACTAACTTGCAAAAATTATTGCATTGTTTAGTTCATTGCTCGAGGCAGCCATTCCGAAAAGTTGGCAAATAATTATAATAAATGAGAAAACAAATAGTTTACCATAAAACGAATTATACGGTTGATTTTTGAATCACACTCATCTATTTTCAAGCATATTTATAATAAAGTCATACAACGTTCAAATTTAGAATATAGAGAGAAGTCTTAGTAATATAAAGCACAGAACATTCCATCTGTATTAATAGTAGCAGCAAAATATTTATCGCTGCCAAACATTTCTGAAAACTTTGTTAGAATTGTCAACCTGAGAAATATTACCAATTTTTAGGACAGCATGTATTTCATTTGTTTTTGTTATAAAATGTGTGCTAATTTATTTTTTAAAAAATACAATTTAATACAAATAGCATAAATTTAGATAATTAACATAATTTATATCACTCAGTAAATAATGTAAGTTCAACGTTATAGTTTTAATAGTAATTAAAGATGGAATATTGCAATTAATAAATGTAGCGACAAAAACATGATCCTACACGTTGCCAGCATCAGTTTATTTTAATGTCTTATGTACAAGAAAAGATTCTAAAGCCTATTCATTTCAAAGAAATACTTCAAAATAATGACTTAACATTCTTACCAAGGCTTGTCACTTTTATTTCTTTTTCCTTTAACTGGCTAATTTGTGGAAGCATTTTGCTATAATTTTCCCTATAGTTGCTTGGACAGAAGAACCTAATTCTGACATATGTAAAAATGCGAAGAATTCACTCAGATAATCAAACGCACAGAACTTAAAAGTGTTATTTAAACATTTTCCTTAGAGAAATTGCAGACGATATAATTTAAAATAGTAAATATTATCTAATGATATTTTCTCTTTTTAAATTATAATGATATATTTAAAAATATTAAACTTTTGTAAGATTACATAACTTAAAATATTTACTATGTTTATTAATTTAAAATAGTAAATATTTGTGAAACTATGTAATTTCAAGAATTAAAGGAACTTTCGTATGCTTTTATTTACTTTCGATGAATGGACTACAGACGAGAAACTTTGACTGCACAGTAAACCTATTTTCGAGTGAAGAGTTGTTGGAAAATAGCTAATCACTGCTCATTTCGTGAATATTCAAACACATTCGGAAGTAGGTGTGGATAAGCTGCTCTAAAAGTTTTTCAATAAATAAATTTAACTTCTGATATTGTAATTGGCACCACCTATGCATCAATTTTTATTACCAAAATTTCCAGCTTAAACCAAATCATTTTGAAGTTCGAGTAAACATTGAGGTTCTTTGCAAAGTTGTTTTGGAGTATGGTAAAACAATGTAATGAAAACTGCTATAACCGGAATATGATCATTTTGAAATAATTGAATTTCCTAACCCTTCAAAATAATTTGAACTTCATATTTTTCAATGCTATATTGCTGAACATTTTGATTTTTATGTAAATCCATGATATCAAATTTTATTCTTCAAGATATGAATATAGAACATGACAATATTTCATATATCCCTCCCCCCCAAAAAAAATGTCTAATAGAAAATAATGCGTAGATTCCAAGCTTAAACAAAATAATGGACAACTCGATTTTACATGATTGACATATGGCATGAGAGAAAATTTTAAAATAAGAAATATCAGTGTTTAAGCTGTTATTGCATACATTTGGTTTAGTTGCAAAATCTGAAATATAATTTTTCTTTAATTTATATGTTTTTGTATTGTGTCACCTCCTACATTTAATTTTTTAATCTTATTTACATTATTTCTTTCGTCTGCAGATTCATTTCAGATATTAGAAACACAACAAATAACCAAATTTGTAGATTACAACATACACCTGAACTTATATTACAAAAAAGAAAAAATCAAACTAGATTCTAAGGTTGTAAAATATTCTTCCTTTTTGCTAAAGTACAAAATTACTTATTCGTAGCAATCTGAGAAAACATTTAAGAATGATTTTTCATAAAGCAATTGCTAATGTTAATAATAGTCTTAAGTAAAATTGAAAGTCTTAGAATTCAGGTTATTTATGAAAAATATATTCATTAAAACCAAATTTATAATTAGAAGCTTTTTCTTTTTAAAAAATTACATCACTGCATGAAAGGTAAATGCAATACAGATCATGATATATGAAAGTTGTTATTATTATGATAAATCAGCTCATATTATCCAATTATAAGCAGAAACATAAAATATAATTAAAATAAAAATGTTCATAAAATGCATTTTAAGTGAGGCGCATGATTTCAGGATATAGTATTACGACATCCTAAATCTATAACTACCCAATTCTATTAATACTTAAAAGATTTCTTCATCATGAAAATATGTGATAATAAATAATACTATTCGCAAAGTAAGTAAACTAAAAGTATTAAGCAATTTTTTTAAGAACAGTTCTAAATTCATTAAAATATTATTTAAGGCTGAAATACACTGTACAAAAGAAATGAAAACTCTAAACAAAATGTAGGATTATCTAAACTAAAAAATTCCGCTGTGCCAGAAATAACGAATGTTCGAAATAAACACAATGTTTTGGTAGAAAATTATTTTTTTGCAGCTTGCTGTTGTATCTACAGAAAGAAAATGGCTCCTTTTGACTTAAATAAAAAATGGGAATTTTTCAATAAAATATTTCAAAATATTTATGTTGGTTTGCTTTAAATTGTCTTTCTACATAGCCATATCTTACTACATCCGCCATTTTTAAGGAATGATTTCATTTATACGGGTTTAAAAATATACTGATGCTGAAGTCTTCGAGCATGTTAAGGTCTTCATTGCAATCTTATAAAAAATTAAAAAATACTTTAATAAATATACTACATGCATAATTAGGCATTCACCATAGACGGAGAAAATTAGCAAAGGCTTCGGTTGGCTTACCTGGACCTTTTAGAGACAATGAAAATCTAGGACCTGGAAAATATTAAACAGATGTAACAAAATTTAAATATTCTTCAACAATATAGAAAATGCTGGTAAGTACTTAACCAAAACCTTCATACAGCTGACTATATAACACGGGGTTTGGCCTTCAATTTAATAAAAGAGAATTTTCGTGCATTTACTACATCCCGCATTTTCTTACTAAATGCTAAAGAAAACAAAAATTATCAGCCAAAATTCTTCAAAGAGTTTCGTTTTCTCAAAATTCTTTCTGTTTTAGTTAATTATATTTGTTAAAAGTCGAAAAACTCTTGATTTTAGTTTTTTTTAAATAACTGTTCGATCAATAGATGGCGTTAGGGGTCTACTTCTATCATTAGCTAGACGTGTCTTGAAACTACTTTATTGTACAAAAACATGCATTTCGATTTTTTTTTAAACTGCCATATTGAGATTTGATTTATTCTACACCATTTCCCGTTGCTAATTTCTGTTTTTCGTTAGTGATTTGTTCATTTGGAGTGTCCTTTCTTTAAATTTCCTGCTATCTAAGTAATAACACCCAATAAGAATTGACTGGTTTGAATTTTTGTTGGTATTTTACCTCAATTACTGAAGTTTAAAAAGCCAAATTTTACTAAAGTTCCATTGGTGGGGGAAACGTAAAAATATAACTAAATGCATCCTCACATTTTTTAATTTTTATCAAAAAATCCCGTCATCAAATTCCGACACTTTAATTAACTAAACAATAAATGCAAATTAAAAATTGTTTAACTAACTTGTAGAGACATTAGATATTTTTTTGGAAGCAAGCAAGATGAAAAATTAGCAATCGCCTTCGCCAGGAATCAAACCACGGACCTCTGGAATACCGGCCCAGCGTGCAGAACCACTACACCACGAAGGCACGGTAGGAAGAGGCGGAAGAAATACCTTATATACTTCCCCTTTTAAAGGGCGACTGGGGTTTTTAGGAGACCCAATTGCTGAATCCTGAGTGTGGACAGTCATCATCCACAACCCTTTTAGTTCGGGCGCCACTGTACAGACATTAGGTATATTTTTGGAAGCAGAAGAAATGAAAAATTAGCAATCGCCTTCGCCGGGAATCGAACCGCGGACCTCTGGAATAGCGGCCCGGCGTGCAGAACTACTACACCACGAAGGGACACTAGGAAAGTGGGAAAAACCTCCGGTATGGCTGGATTTTGCACCACTACTGAGTTCAATCGTATTTCTGAGCGGGTTTTCTTCCCACACGGTGATCGTTCCCCCTTCTCGATCACCGGTTCTCGTTTAAATTCTGTTTTAACGCCCCCTCATTTTACTAACTTTTATTTCCGAAACCCTTAGATTTACTCGCGCTTTTGTTGTCGGACTTTCCACTTTTTCCCCTCTGCCAATCTTCTGACCTTGCGATTTCTTCTGCGGAGTAAACCTTGAATGTTGGCCAAAGTGGTTCGCACGATCTTTCTCCGCATATCTTCTACTTTGGAATTTCACCGCAAGCTCAAAAAGGTTTTCCAATGTTTGCGGGTTTCGGACTTCGAGGAAATCTTGAGCTGACGGTAGTAGACGCGGTAGAATTACTTCGATGAGTTCCCCTTTCCGTACAATAAATTAAATATTTAGATTTTTCGTAAAATAAACTCCGTCAACTCATCGAAATTGCTTTGATATTTGCTAAACAATTCTGACTGTAGGTTTGCACGGTCTTTCACAACTGGAAATGCTTTTAATAATGCAGACTTGAAATTTTCCCACCTGTATGATTCTGAACCTGGGTCTCCCAACAAAAAATTGCCAATTCCTTTATACCAGCTGAGGGCTTGACCTCTTAGGTTTGTAGTAACGATGGTAATTTTTTGTAGCTGGTTCACAGGATACAAAGTAAAATGAAGGCCCAGCTGTTCGAGAAAAGTCCTTACCGAACCTTTTCCGTCAAATGTTGCGGCTGGTTTCATAGCAGCATTGTTTCTATGAATAATCCAAACCCTTCCATAGGTTTCATGGAAGTCTGAGGGACCTGAAAGGTCGGAGGGGTCAAAGTGAACTTTTCACTCTCTAACGGCATGGTACGTTGAAAACTTTTCGGGCGCCAATACAGGGATTCCTCACAGTGACTTAGAATCACACTGTGAGAAATCCCTATAAACTAAATAATAAATGAAGATTAGAAATTGTTATTTTCAATTGATAATTTTATAAGTTTTCATTTTCCAGTTGCTAGTTGGATGTTCTAATCGCGTGCAACAAGAAAGCACGCATGAAGAAACGTGACAATTCTCTACATTTCCCCCCCCCCATTTAAAAAGGCGGTCGGGTAGAGGCATGAAATTCAGTCGACTAAATCTAGGTGATGATAAATCGTCGTCTCTCACATTTTAGTTCGAGCACAACGGTAGAAACTGATATTTTTCGGAGCGGAAAAATGTGAAAATCAACTATGTCCTCTTTTAACAATTGGGTGTTTGCTGGCATACGTGATCGCGTAGAAAAACGTCTTTCCAAAGCATCTTATACATGAGATTTTAAACCAAGGAAGTACGCTAGGCAATGTATTCCATTGTTATTCTCATTTTCTAGCAGCTCCTCGATGCCACGAATCCGATGTAGTCTGGCATTACAACTTAAAAATAAAGTCTGCAGGAAAAGCATCTTTCAAAGCATGCACGCTATGTAGGATCAGTGTTAGACAATAGAGATTCTCGGTTAACGGTGTGTGCATTGAAAATGTGAAGATCATTACTGTTATTCAGGATAAGCCTTGCCAGATGAGCATCCCAGGTATATCCACTCCTTTGTGTTCATACATAAAGAAATGCACGTGTCGTGTAGTTATAGTACTGAATTAATTTTGGGAGAGTGCACGAGCTAAATATTATTGTACCAAGTGAAGTGTTTGAAATATTTTTCGTATTACAATATTATTACCATGCATTAAAGGACCGATTTTTACGAAAAAGCCGTAAGTACAGTGGGAATGAAAATAAAGAACCAGTGACAAACGCGTGAAAAAACTAAACATCCAAAATATTATGATAGCTATTTGAACTTCGGTTTAATGTCGATGAAAATCAGTGGCGGAGAGAGGCCACAAAGTGTTCTGTATATCAAACTTTTGGCACCAGAAAAAACTGCAACGTAAGTACTAAGTAAAGTGAAACGCCATTTAGAAATCACTCATACCCAGCGCAGTTAGTTAATAATTCTCGTAACTATTTTATCACAAAGTTAAATGATTTTAATCAACAAATAAGCAAAAATCAATGCCAAACAATGTTTTGTTATCATCTAAAATAGAACTGCAAAATGTAAGAAACCTCATACAATCGCAGAATTGGGAACTCATTTTGCTGGCTGCTTTAGATATGGTGAACATTGTGATTGGTGACTCTGCTGGAAAGCTACATTTAAAAATGCATTTATCCAATAACATTATCAGCCGTAGAATATAACACAGATTGCAGGACTTAATGATAAATTAAATGAAAAATTAAAAAAGCAAGGAACTTGTCTTGCAGCTGAAGCCACAGACAATAATAATGACGAGCACTTGGTTTACTACATCCGCTTTATAAATAGCAATACCATTGCAGATCTTCTAAATTTTTGAGGCTCAAAACTTGTTCCAGATCCTATTTCTGAAAGTATTTTGATGTAGACTAATTGCGTCCATAGCTGTACTAATGGTATTTGTTCTTTATGTGGCTGTTTTAACGAGTATCGCAGGCTTTTATTAAAAGCAATGTCCTTGGAATACTATAGACCCACTGCGTTATTCGCATAGAAGCACTCGCCTCAAAATATCTGAATCCTCCATTGAACCGGATTTTAGAATATTTTGCGAATGTACTGTAGAAAAGAAACGAAGTAGCTGTGTGTGTGAACGTGTGGTGATTAACAGCTGAATCCATCTTACTAATTATTATAATTAAAAACATTTGCCCAACTACAAATTTTTATCATTTAAAATGTGTTTTATTTATTTTAAGTTGCCCAAAATTTATTCCTTATTTTGTAAGGTTCACATTTTAAAATTTGACATAGAGCACCTTGGGAAAATCTGGATTTAGCAAGGGCCCAGAGAATCTAAAACATTTGAGAATTGATCAGCTTTGGCGACTTTCCAAACTTGCAAAACTACATTTCAAAAATTTTGGCAGTTTTCAATATCACCAAACATCATTATTTTTTTGCAAATTTTTAAATGGCTATCTATAGAATACTAGCAGCTAAATCTTTAACAATTATATATTTTTAGATGAGAAGAATCATATATATTAATTTCAGAAAAATTGAGATTCCAGGGTTGAGACACTTTACTTGCTAATATATTCTAACGTTTTAATTTTATTGATTTAATTTAATTTACATTGTGAGTACTTTATTATTTATCCAATCTCTCTTGATTATAAAAATCTAATATGTATTCTGTAATGTGAATATTATTCATACACATTTCGATATTTAAAAAATAAATTTTTTATTAAGGATATTGGCAATAAAGCAATATATTACAAAGTCAAATTTCCCTCAGAAAGTTTTTAATTTTCAAGAAATTGCAGGAGTGAGCATTTAATATGAAATAAAAATAAATGCAGATAGAATTTGCCCTCTTACTTTCCTATATTGCACTATTGTATAAAAGAGCATAAAAAGATAGAAATAGTTATATTCATGTAATAGAATATATTACAAAACATAAATGAATAATAATACAAAATAAGTGACTAATAATACAAAACAACAGTTCGAATTAATCTCAAGCAATCTCTTTAATAAAATATGGCATAATAATGTATTTGTCAAATAGAAGTTTGAAATGAGTTGTATACATATGATATTTAAAAAAGTGCTAAATTTTTTCTACAATAAACAGCTTCATTGTTTCAAATAATTTAAATTATCTTGTTTCTTTATTTAAAACTTATTACAACAATTTACAAAGTTTATAACCTCCTTACAAAAATAAGTTCATGAAACCTTTCAAAAGAAACTATATACACACATTTTCTAAATGTTATTTTCAATCGCATTTATTAAAAAACACAAATAACTAGCAACTTTATTTAATAAATTAAAAGCAATCGAACAAATATTTTGAACTGACTATTTCAAAATTTTTTAATTCATGAATTATGTTTTAATCATTAATCATTTAATGCATAAAAGCAGTATACATTCATAATGAAGTGTAGAGATATAAAATTAAATTAAAGAGCAAACACAGAAAACAGTTCTAGGTCCAGTTACTGACTTTGATGCATGTATACCTTAATAAATATATTAAATTATATGTAATATAGTTTTCTTGACCGACTACTGGCAATAAATTATTAGTAATGGAACACTTTTTATTGCAGTTACCGCCAGCTACTATGGAAATGACAAAAATTAAAGTTGAATATCTTTAAAAGTTCTTAGCCATTTAGTTCTACTCTAAAAGTTTCTAAATTCTAAAAGTCTTTAAGTTTATAACTAAGCGTAATAAAATTAAATTGTTAAATAAATAAATAAGTCTAAACAGCGTAAATATGTATATTCTCAGGTCTCTTAAATGGTTTCATGGCAGAACATAGTACGGATTACTATAATGAAATTTATCCGATATTTCAAGGCATTTCACACAATATATCAAAATGCTACAAATATAAATACTGACGGAAGTGCTATGGAAACAGCCTATTTCTACACAGCCAAAAATGGTTAACATTTCAAGCAACATTTTTTTCCAAACTTATTAAAAATTTACCTTCGGGTTTGAAAAAATAAAAATAAGTATTATAAAATAATTATTAAATTCAGTTGCTCATGCAAAAATTACTACATTTTCAAATCGTTTCGGAACACTTACATTAATTACATTTATATTAATTTGAAGAATATACCCTTCAATTTGAATTTTAAACAATACTTGGAATCAGAAAGCTACTGAAAACATGAGAGAAATGTTATGGGTAGATAAAAAGAATTATAAACATAGATTTCTATCCTTTTATTATTTAGGCTATTTTAGCCATCATTTCAAACTGGCTTTAGCAAAAATTGTACAACATTCGAATTTAAATTTACTTTACTTATTCTTTCAAATACTAGTATTTACATGTAATAATGTTTACTTTCTTAGGTAAATATTTCGAGATATAGGAGAAATGTAAAAGTAATTTTCATTTTCACGGAAAAAATGCAATAGATTGTCTTTATAGCAATCATTCAAATATTGTACAACTTCTTTGGAGGCAATTTGTAAATATGTATGCAACATCTTAAGAGAAAGACCTGAACAGTATTTTCCCAAAATGACAATGAAAAAGTTTACTACTCGGCGTTCTTTCTCTGAATGTTTATAAGCCTTAGTGGTTTGAAAACATTTCTTAGCAAAACATCCATCTTTCTCAGATATATTCAGCCTGAAATTCGAACGTTTTTCCAGTTTTACTAACTCTTTTAAACACAGCGTCACATTATGACTTTTTAATTCTTCGGATTCTAATCTCTTCGATGTCGGAAAATTAAGTGGGCCAAGAATGGAGTCAACAATTTTTTCGCAATAATCGCCGTATGCTATGTTGTCAAACAGAAAAGGGTGTGGTTTTATAAATCCGAAGTCATAATCTTCTGAGTGGTCTGAAAGTAAGAATGCTGAAGTGTTTAGATATGTGTACGCTGCTTCTTTGGAAATGGACAACTGGCTTTCTTCTGTAGGGTACTTTACAAATTTTGGAGATTGTTTTGGAATTTTCTGAAGATTAGAAATTTCTTTTCCATTTACTGGAGGTGAATTATCAGAAGTTTCTTGACTGTATTCAGTGTGAAAATCTATTTCAGTTGCAGAAGAAATATTAGGTAATGCATGTTCAGATGTCTTTATTTCATTATTGGGAATATTACTAAGACATATGATATTTTTAGCTTCATTAGCGGTGTCGATTTTAATAGCTTTCAGTGCTTCCTGATGATTTTCAAAATTATTTGAAGTACATGAATATGAATCCGGAACCTTTGTGTTATTTGACTTAAAGTGGGAATTTTCACCAGGGAAATTATGCAACATTTCAGTGGGTTCTGTGATGCTAACAGCTGCAGAAGTAACAGATTTATCAGTAATATTATCACATAATCCAGTTTTATTATATAGAACCGTTCTAAAATCAGTTTTCTCCTTTTTTGGTGTAACACAGTCATTAACTGTTTTATCAGACAATGAATAATCGACAGGTTCATCTTTCAGTGAATTACAGATCAGGTTTTCTGAGGTATCTAATGTTTCATAGTGTATATTTTGCTCTAATTCTTTTACTGAATCAGGAATGTTCATTATCTCATAATTTGACGGTATTTCCATCTTTTGTCTACAACAAAAGTTGTCTTCTTGTTTATTTGCTAGTATACTCGCATCATTTATACTGTGGTTGTTTTGTTTTGATGAATCAAAGTCCATTTTCTCAACCATAATTTCAGGCTTCTTTTCTATGACTCCGCAGTTTTTCTTAGAAGTATCTAGATTTACATCAGACATTGTATATACCTCATTTGCTTGACCAGAGCTTTTTTTTGACAAATTGAAAATATTCGGCGAGTCGCGTAAGATAAAAGGAATTGTAGTATCGTCTTTTTTCTGAATGTTTTCTTCCTTTCTGGCCAAGAGCTTGAAAATACGATCCAGCTCACTGGATGGTGAAGTGATAATTTCTTCTGCTGTTTTATGGGCTTCAGAATGTTCATTAAAAGATCCCTCCCCTTCTGTAATACTTGGAGGAATATTTGATGGTTTAGTCTTTAAAGTCGCATAATCCTCATTTAATTTCACTGCATTTTTTTCCTTTTGCTCAAGAGGCGCAAGGCTGGTGCTAATATCTGGATTAATAGGAGAAATGCAGTCGTGAAAAATTTCAGCATTTAATATTTTCAGATCGGGAGCAAGATTAAGTTCCACTAATCCATCATTTTCAATAATGAAGTATTTTTTCGTTTTCTCGAAAAATGCTAACTGCATATTAGCAGTTGATAAACAGTCGATTATATTATAAAAAATATTAAGTTTCTTCAGAAGTTCTGAAAAATGAATTTTCTTATTTGGATATAAAAGGTGTGTAATATGCAATAATACTTTTCGCTTTTCACTTAACTTACAGATTTGTCTTGAGTTCAAGTTATTGTCTAAACAACTAGTTGATTTGCGATGACAATGTCTGCAGATTTGTTTTATAAAATGTTTTTGCTCTGTAAAGGACAAATTACAAAAATATTTTCGCAGTTTTCCAAAGACATGCAATATTATTTTCAAACGATCAAAATTAAAAGCAGATTCGTGGAGAAATTCAGATAAGAATATATAACTAGATAATATTTTATTAAGAACATGGTTTGAATGGCAGACATTTTCTGAAATATAACTATTCTGATTACATTTTCTAACATCGAAAGCATTAAAAATATCAGTTTTTGTTGTTTTATCACCTAGAAAAGCGTCGTTAGTACTTTCAAGATTCGAATTGTTATCGCGTGCTTTGCTCTGTGTATATGAACATTGAGTTAATATGAAATCGTGAACATCATGAGCAATAGGTTGATTTTGATTTTTTCTAAATAAAGAGATATTTTTTGAACGATTAACTTTAGAAAACATATTAAAACAGTTGGAAAAAGAAGATTTCGATGCATTTAATTCTGAAATGTGATTTAAGGCAACAAATCCATCACTTCTAATACAAAAATATTTCTTCCTCTTTTGAAAATAGGTCATTTGTTCTGACGTACTTAAACCAGGCATTGAGACTGTAACACCATAATCTTCAAAGCATTTAAATATTTTTGAAAAATGTATTTCTTCCTTATACAGTAATAAATATGCAATAAATACTAAATCTGCTTCTTCTTTATTCAAAATACAATTTTCCAGTTTACCTAAAGGGTATTCTAAAAATTTCTGACATGAAACAAAAGGACGAAAGCATTCAGTAACAAAACAGATTTGATCATGTTCAGATAAGCTGCAAAAATATGTTCTAGAATCTTCTAAGATATGAAGTACAGCTTCCAAAACCAAAAAGTCAAAAGCAAGTTCAAAATATTTACATAAATATGCAATACAAGCTTGTATTCTAGCACATGCATGCTTTCTTGAGCTATTTGCCATCTCCATTTCATTACTGCACAAAATAACTTTACGCAAATAAAATTTATAAATTTCTTAAAAAGTAACCAAATAGTGTTTATTTCCTAGTTATCATAATTTTCTAAAATATGAGCTTTCAATGTGTTAAACAATAAGAAAATGAAGAAAATTCCTAAATTATAATTCCAAAATAATTTGTATAATAATACTTTCATATCAGATCTTGCACATCTTTTGAAGATTTGCTATATAAGTGGTTTTATTTCATAAGACCTTTTGCTAGAAAAGTACTGTGACATGTTCAAAATTCATTTGCACTGCAAAAAGATATAAAAAATATTAAAATGCAGTAAAATAAAACTTAATATATAAAAATTATTAAAATACATGAAATTATTATCTTGAAAAAATGATAATTTTACACAGTCCAACCCCAATTTAACTGTACACAATTTAACGGCTTAATTTAATACTTATTTGCACCGTTTTGGTCTAAATATAACCATTTGTTCTAGGAATATAAAAATATAAATTTATTTTCAGTCTAAATGCCAGATTTCTTCGATTTAGTACACAAATTTCATGAAAATTAATATAACAGTTAATGCCTAACATATATATTAATTAGTGATAAAATAGGAGTCAATTTCTTCTAATTTTGTTGTTTTGAAATTCTTTCTACATGTACAAAGCTTCCGCATATTTTACTTTTGGAAAGAAAGATATGAAAAACATTGCTTCTCATCGGCCATTAACTTATTAATTCATACTTCAGTTACTTGAGGAAACTGAAAATAGGGTTTCTATCAGCAAAGTTAAGCACAAATTAAGTCTTTTGAAACTCACGTCACAAATCTTTCAATGCAAATTCCATTGTTAATGCTAGAATCATCTCGAAATGATGCCAGCAAGATAAAAAATTAAGATAAAAGCTAACGTTCTGGAAGCTACAAAGCTTATTTGAGATAATGGGACGGGACGTGGTTAGATCAACGACTGAATAGTGTTTCCTAAAAACAAAATCCACTCTCTTGAGCCACGGAAAAAATTAATATCTCTTAAAAAATAAAAACCGTCGTATAATCTTAACCTGATCTCCAAAGGTGAATTAACCACTAAGCAAAATAAGAACGTGCTTATGGCAACAACGAAAGGGGGCACAACTGAAAGGTGCTTATAGACCAGAACTCGGCAAGATATAACCCACGGGTCACCGGGTGACCACCCCTTTCATAATTTCTTGTGATATAATCGAGTTCCGAAAATAAGGTACAATACAGTGGTGGCCAAAATTGTGGACACTTTTGGAAATTTTTATGATTTTGAACTTTGTATGCTTATAGAAAATGTTACGTTTCGCAAAATGCAAACTTGTATATATCATTTTAAAGAGAATTTATTACTGAATTCAATACAAAACACAAAATTCAATTATTTGCAATACAAAAAAAGTTATATGTACTTTAATATAAATAAAAAAACAGTTATGAAGTGGTTTGTAATGTCTAGCTTTCCTGGCCAATCACTGTTCTTGTTCTGAGAACCAATCAAATGTTAGTAACTGCCAGTAGAAGCTGACATCATGTTTACACTTGAAACAATTCATTATTTTGCTTTGTTCTGTAGAAGGAGGACCTGTTTTTTATACATTGCAATTACAAGTAGGAATAAAAAACAAAGAAGGAAAAGGCCGAAAAACGTGCACCACATCTATTGATGACAGAAGAATAAAAAGACTATGTCTCCAAGATAGAAAAATGTCATCAGCGGCCATCAGAAGTGATCTGAATGATGCTGGTGTTTCTGTCAGTTCAAGAACAATCAGGAGAAGATTAACAGATGTTGGACTGAGAGGTAGAATTCCACGAAAAAAGCCTTATCTTAATTTTCAGCAACGAAAAAAAAAAAAAGACTACAGTGGGCAAAGGAACACATTAATTGGACAGATGATCAGTGGTCACAAGTTATATGGAGTGATGAAACTAAGATATCGTTATTCGGTAGTGATGGGCGAAAATATGTAAGACGTAGAATAAGAGAAGAGCTACATCCTGACTGCATTCAAGCAACTGTGAAGAACCCAGTTAGTGTTATGATTTGGTCATGCATGTCAGCAGATGGTATTGGTCACCTTCATGTCATCGATGGGACACTGAATGCCAGAAAATACATTGACACTATTCTAGAACCAAAACTTCTACCTTCCATCAGAGATCTCTTTCCCAACAATGCTTCGTTTATTTTTCAGCAGGATTCTGCTCCTTGCCACACGGCCAAAATATCGAAAGAGTGGTTTCGTACAAAGAGCATTAAATTGTTGTCATGGCCAGGAAACAGTCCTGACCTCAATCCTATCGAAAATTTGTGGCACCGTTTGAAAACTCTTGTCCGAATGAGGCGCCCATCAAATAAAAGGGAACTAATTGAGGCTATAATTGTTTCCTGGCATCGTGTAATAACGGAAGAAGAGCTTAAAACTCTTGTCAGCTCAATGAAACGTCGATGTGAAGCTGTAATAAAAAATAAAGGGTACCCTACTAAGTACTGATAACTCGCTGCAATTCACTATTTAATGTATATCGCTGCAAATCACTATTTAATGTATATCGATAACTATTATCGTTTAACTTTTTTGTATTGCAAATAATTGAATTTTGTGTTTTTGTATTGAATTCAGTAATAAATTCTCTTTAAAATGATATATACAAGTTTGCATTTTGTGAAACGTAACGTTTTCTATAAGCATACAAAGTTCAAAAACATAAAAATTTCCAAAAGTGTCCACAATTTTGGCCACCACTGTATATATAAAAATAAACTATTTGAAGTAAACTATTGAAATAAACTATATGAAAAAGAGCACTTCAAGAATGCATAAAAATTAAGGCGAAAATAAATAACAATAACATTTTTCTTTGATGAACAAAGTTGCAGTAACTAACATACATTTTTATTTTAAAATAATAAAAATTTTAACATAATTTTGAGAAGAAAAAAGTTTGGCAAGGTAGATACATAATACATAATTTTAAAAAAATAGCTTTGCCATTTTGTTCTCATTCGGTTCAACTTATAAATGCCAGCAAATATATTCACACTAGAAATTCATGAAATTTATTTAAAGAACAGAAGCGGCTTAACTACCAAAAATTCAGGTGCTTGAATTCGTCTTAAAATGACTAATTAGTCAAACCTGGATAAATTGACGTCACATGTTCAGCAGGAAAGCCCCTGGTATTGAAGGGAAAAATAAAGTTCATTCAGTTATGTTTATTTTTATAAATTTTAATTTTTATGTTGAAAGTTTAAAGCATATTGTAATTACATTCTCGATGAAATTTATCTTATTCACCAAGAAAGATTGTTCTAAAATGAAAATACCACTGACCCGAAACGTCGTCGTAATATACACAGTTTAGCTGATTTTGGCACGCAGCCAAAAAAGGTTGCCAACGTCTCTGGAAAGGAGGTTCTTATTGCCGGTTTTATCGGGGAATGTACGATGCAGCAAAACCGTCCGAGAAAGAGAATGAATAGGAAAAAAAACTGACATAAATTCATGTAAGGGCATCAAAATCTTTTAGTGCTCTCTGTAAGTTTTAATCTGGCTCTGCCGTTCTTTCAGCTCAGTTAAAAAAGTCACATACTATTTACTGCTACCTGTGTCAAATGGGTAACATATTCAAAATTTATAAAACTAACATTTCATTTCGCCTAGTTGTTTCTAATTTGTTATCCCTCTTACCTATTAGCAAAATATCTGGGTAATATTTTTTTTCTTTATCAATCAATAATCGCTGTATACAAAATTAATGGATTAACTTAAAAACATTTCTCCTGGTAATTTCATCATGGATTTATATGATGTCGAACCTTTGCTCACTAATGTAAATCTGAAACGTATTTTTAATTGTCTAGAGATTACAGAGTTTTATTTCTCACGTTTAAAGATAGCTAATCTACCTTCACTAATTTTGCCTAAATCAGATGTATTTTATCTTTCAGAACAATTGCTAACAAATGAAGAACTAGCCGCAGGAATCCTCTCAGCACTGTTTTGGAGGATATTTACATGTATTAGTTAAATTAAAAATGTCTCAGACGCTCTGTTCTGAAAAGCTCCGCTCTGATATGTCTCCTCTCTCTTAGATTCATTATGTCGATGAGTCAATCATTCTCTTTGATGGTAATAATCATTATTTACCTCCGGTTCTATCAGTTATGAATTCTATACATCCTACTACTCAATTCATCTTTTTTTGACAAATGATAACCTTTTTTTTCGGTAATCAATAAAATTATATTCTCTTGAAATTTATTTTATTTCCATATTATTTATCGCTGGCTACACACTATAATACATTCTAAGGTATTTAGGGCAACATAAAATATACAAACTAACATTCTAACAAAATTGACGCTATAGAGAAAAAAATCACACCAACAATAATAAAATTATTTTCACAAATTTAATGCAGAAAGAATCAAATTTCTATTTTCCTTACTGAAAACGTAAGACGTTTTTAAAACTATCGTAAATCAACTTAAGTCTTAAAGAACATTTAACTAATTAAGACACAATAACACGCCGAATAAATACTAATTCAGAAATCAAACAACAAAAATCAGCGTTATATTTACAAAGTTTTCACAGGACTAGTTTCGATGGTTTTACCGAACCACCATCTTCAGCTGCAAAACCGCAAATGAACAAGATAGGAAATAATGATTAGATAAGATAAGAAAGCCTGGACAAGAATAAGCAAGTGGCGCCATCTGTTGGTAAAACCAGAACTAAAACATAATTTCTTTAAAGGCCGAAGGCAAATTTGGATTGGAATTAGGATTGTTAACATAGAACAGAAAGATTTTTATGAATGTGAAATGCCTCTAGAAAATCCAGTTCTCCAATGGAAGATGTTTTTTTTTTTGAATAATTTTGGCAGCAGAAAAACTGAAAGTGTGGTTTTCGGACCAACAATGTTGAGCAACAGAAGACTTCTGTGTTTCCTTTTTTCTAAATATGCCTCATGTTCCTTGACGCGAAATTTTAAGGCTCTCTTAGTTTGGCCAATGTAAATTAAACCACACACTGGCAAGGAATCCTATAAAATACCCCAGGAATTCATATCCGGAATGGGGGTCCTTGAGTATGGAACTCGGAATTTTATTGATGGGAGAATAAACAACCCGAAAGTTAAAAAATTTCTGCAAAATATGTGCCCCAACTTTTTATAGCTAATTGATGGAAAGAAGGGAAATGACAACAGAATTTTATAATCTCCTAAAACAAGATTGTGCTTTTAGTGTGTTGAGATGAGAATTTTTTAACTGCTTGATTAATAATGTTGGGTGGAAAGCCCCTGTCAATAGCTATTGCTTTTAAATACTTTAGTTTTCATCAAGGGCTAGTTTGGAGGAGCAAACTTGAAGAGCACGGAAAACATAGGAATAAAATGAAGCTAACTTTTGTTTAGTCGGATGACATGATTTAAGTGTGGTGGAAGGCAAACCGATGAAGGTTTACGGTAAACCGTAGTACTGAAGTTGGATGTGTTACGTGTGACCAGAATGTCGAGAAAACGGAAGAGAATTGCAAGTCTCAAGTTCAAAAGTGAACTGAATAGCAGGATCAATAGAATTCATTGTTGAAAGAACTTTATTTAAATCATCTTTATTACCTTCAAACAGAGTAAAAGTATCGTCTACGTAGCGGAACCATGCCGGGAAGTTTAAAGTTTCAAACAATTTTGATTCATAATAATGCATGTAGATATCAGCCAGGATGGGACTGAGGGGGCTTCCCATGGCTAATCCCTCAGTTTGCTTGTAATATTTATTTTGGAAAACAAAATGTGTTTGTTTCAAACAGAGTTGAGTGAGAGAAATTAGCTCATCAATTTCGATGCAAGAGAAATGAAATTCGCGATGTCTGGTTTCTAGACATCTTAATGCACCCTCCACTGGGACACTGGTGAATAATGATTTTACATCAAAAGAAACCATGAGTAAATTACTAGGAGAAATGTTTTTAACTTTTTTTACAAACTCTATTGAATTTTTTATGGGTAAATGTTATTGTCTAATAGAGTTGAAAATCTAGAAACTAAAATTTAGCTAATGGATACGAGGCAGTACCTAAATTTGATACAATAGGGCGGAAAGGAATACCACTTTTATGAATTTTGGGAAGAGCATATAATCTGGCACAATTCGCAACAGATGGGATAAGTGAATGTTTTAAGTTGGCTGAAATGATTTGCGAAGATTTGATCGCAGTTTTTATTTTTGACAAATCCGAAGGTGAAGGATCTTTAGGGATCGGATTATATGGTCCTTCGTTTAAGAGTTTAGTGACACCATCGATGTAAGTGTTCCTATCCATGACGACTATCTGGCCACCTTTGTCGGCCTTTGAAATAATAATATCCGGGTTAGAATGAATTTCACGCAATGTAGCTCTTTCTCTCGCAGTTAGATTTGGTTTCAAAGGTTTATTATTGAATTTCACATTATGAGCGATAAGATGCCTAATCATTTCTTTCTGTGAATCCGACTAAACAAAAGTTAGCTTCATTTTATTCCTATGTTTTCCGTGCTCTTCAAGTTTGCTCCTCCAAACTAGCCCTTGATGAAGAACTAAAGTATTTAAAAGCAATAGCTATTGACAGGGGCTTTCCACCCAACATTATTAATCAAGCAGTTAAAAAATTCTCATCTCAACACACTAAAAGGCACAATCTTGTTTTAGGAGATTATAAAAATTCTGTTGTCATTCCCTTCTTTCCATCAATTAGCTATAAAGTTGCACATATTTTGCAGAAATTTAACTTTCGGGTTGTTTATTCTCCCATCAATAAAATTCCGAGTTCCATACTCAAGGACCCCATTCCGGATATGAATTCCTGGGGTATTTATAGGATTCCTTGCCAGTGTGGTTTAATTTACATTGGCCAAACTAAGAGAGCCTTAAAATTTCGCGTCAAGGAACATGAGGCATATGTTAGAAAAAAGGAAACACAGAAGTCTTCTGTTGCTCAACATTGTTGGTCCGAAAACTACACTTTCAGTTTTTCTGCTGCCAAAATTATTCAAAAAACATCTTGCATTGGAGAACTGGATTTTCTAGAGGCATTTCACATTCATAAAAATCTTTCTGTTCTAGTTAACGATCCTAATTCCAATCCAAATTTGCCTTCGGCCTTTAAAGAAATTATGTTTTAGTTCTGGTTTTACCAACAGATGGCGCCACTTGCTTATTCTTGTCCAGGCTTTCTTATCTTATCTAATCATTATTTCCTATCTTGTTCATTTGCGGTTTTGCAGCTGAAGATGGTGGTTCGGTAAAACCATCGAAACTAGTCCTGTGAAAACTTTGTAAATATAACGCTGATTTTTGTTGTTTGATTTCTGAATTAACATTTAACTAGTTACAAGTTAAAATATATGCAAGATATTTTTTGCAGTGCATTTTGTAATCTTTAATACGATTTTAAAATCATGTGGCAGTTGTGCTCTTTTCACAGAATGTAGCAATTTCATGTTTAAAGTTTTGAGTACGTGTTTGACTTATATTTAAACAGCGGCAGAAACTTTATCGAATTGGAACAGCCTACTCTGAATCAGATATTCTCAGAAGCAGTTAAATCCACATGAATCAACTATTTTCAAAGGCATTTTTAATGAAATATTTTAAATTATTACAGGGATAAAACTTTCTTTCTAAATTCAAATACGCTGGCAGCCTAATCCTTTTAAACTACAAAGAAATTTTTGGTGTAGATGAAATCTTCCAATGCATCCTTATGAATTGAAATATTAATTAGGGAACGGGGAATGGTACCACAACTGCTGTGACACCCAAGTATATAAAGGAAGCTTAGGTTATTTGACTATTTGACTACCAGAAAAACCACGCAAAGGGTATCTGCATAAGAGGTGAGATGCCTTCTTGGAGAATTTCCTAAAGAAGACTGGTATATATTCCCGTTACAAACGAGGAAAAACCAATCTACAGCCAGACCGTTCTTGGGTAAAACCCAGGACGAACTACCAGCATTCAGCAGTCTTTAATCACTAGGCCACTACCGTGTCTTAAAGAAGACTTATTATACATTCCTGAAATTTGAAATTTAGACTTACAATGGCATTCAGTTTCTGCAAGAGGGGTGGGAAGAAACGAAATGACATAAATATCTGAAATAAATATATTTTTAAAAACGATTTTTAAATGGCACAAAGGAATTTAATTGACCATAGTATTAAGCATAAAGAGAAAACGAAATAACATGCTAAAGAGAATAAAAAATATCTCATGATTATTATTCATTTACGTAAATATATGAATATGCGTTTTTTTGCGGTTGTCAAAAATTTCAAAGAATTTTAAAAAATTATCTGCGTAATATATTTCCTTGAAAACACTATAGCTTAATTACAGTAAGGTATATCTAAATAATGAAACATATATAATTATACCAATGACCTGAATGTACGGAAGATCAAATCAAAGATTAAAACAGTATTTCATGCTTTGCCGTAATCAACTAAACAAACAGACAGATACATGTTTGTATTAGATATTGTTAACTCCGCCTCAGAGAAGGTGAAATTCTCAACCAAATGCTTCAATACAATCATGACGAATGACAGCATTTTGATTTTTGTTCTGTTTATCCCTAATTTAGATTTTTAAAAAATGCTTACGGTTTTTCTATATTACAGAGTAGCAGAAGGTATTTTAAACTAATTTTTATAGTTTCAGTTATTTCATCAAAATCTAGGAATTGCTTCATTTATTGTTTCACTGCTCTTCTATAAACTGTTATTTACTTTGTGTGTCTAGGGGATTTAAAATCTGCCAACTTTTCTTGAACATTAAAAAATGTCTCAAACACATATCTTGGCAGGCACTTTCTAATAAATGGTATCATATGTATAGTACCACTCAATTTTCTCAGTGAGGTTTGTTACATTTATGGATACTTATTTTTAAATGTATCTGCCAAAATTGGGATATGGTTGAAACATACGGTAAAATATAAAGGAATAATATTTTAAATTTATCTTTATAAAAAAAAAAAAAAAAAAAAAAAAAAAGAAAGAAAGAAAGAAAGGGAGAAGAAATCCTGCGTTTATTTATTCCTTTTCACACTTCCTGTCTTGGTTAGTCTTTCTAAATATTCAGTGTATTTAATAATTTTAATCGCTACGGAATATAGCAAAATAAATGGTGCCATAACGCTTTTTATTCTTAAAAACAAATTATAAGTATTTTCAAAAAATATTTGCAGTTTTAAATCCAAAAATGACAAAATTATTTTTATAACCATTTATCATTATAAAATTATACTAAGAATTATTAAATTAATGCATTTTGTATTTATTATTTAAAATGGGTTTGTTTCATTATACTGATTTTTTTAATCTTCGAATCAATAGCGTTAGTTAATTCAATATATACTTTTCCCTAAGATATAAATATATTTCTTAACTCTGAAGATGTTTATTTCATTAATATTATGCCATTTTACCAAACATTTTTCTGGTCATGAGATATATAATTATGAGACCATACCATATTCTCTTCATTAAAATTTTATAAATCTAAAGTGACGATACAGATAATACAACAAACTACAGTGAAATCATAATTAATCATAATAAAAGCATGAAATAGAGGGAAATATGTACTGTACCAGTCATTTTTCTTACCATTTTTATACACTCTGTCAAACCAATGAATACATATATGAAAATAAATAAAGGTTTTTCCCAAAATCTGCAGTCAGTTTTAAATAAACAGATCTTAACGTCTTTATAATTAACATATCCTTCTTGAACACGACAGTAGCTTTCGAAACTTTAACATTCAGATAACAGCATTTGGCGAATATTTTTACATCGTTATCAAAAATGGTGCTAAGCGCGCCAAGTGGGAAAGGATTATTCTGAAGAGATAAGGAAAATAATAATACTACTAATTTCTACAAATTTTCATTACTTTTTTCTTTTTTATTAGTAATCATGTAGTTTTGTTTTGTTTAATCACCATATTATGGTAATATGATGCAAATAGCAATTCGACTTTGTTTTTCATTCCCTGAATAGAAAAATGCATCGTAAGCAGCACATCAGAAGAATTCCTGATGTAAAAATATTTTTCTCATTCAACAATATAATTTTTCAAAGCAATAAGTTAAAAAAATTATAGATTCATTATAATATCATAAACTATAACTGATGCGAGTGGAATCATAATTAATCATAATCTTCAAGTATATTGAATACCCTAGAATATTTTGTGAGTTTTAAGAATGTCATAGTGCATTGTTCTAAAACGCGATGCATATGAATCAAATTTATTCAATACGTAAATTATACAAAATTTATTTTTAAGTATAAAAGAGTAATACTTGTACAATTTATAAAACACCGTACATAGACGCATTGTCCAACAGAAATGTAATGCTTGTCACGTATTTATAATTAAATATTCCCAGCCTATGCTTCTTAAATGGATGGAACAAGATGATTTTTTAATTTTTGAACATGAAAACTATCCACGACGCAGTCCTTCAATTTTCTTTGAAAATTATTAAAATTAAATGACGTAAAATACAATAGTATCGGTTACTTAGTTTTCCCGAAAAATAAGAGAAAAGTGAAATCAGCTTGAAGGATAACTATCGGTACAGTACAAAACTAATACTGATTTATTTGATCCCATCAGGAGAAGGGCGGTAAAGGTCGCTGAACGCTGGTAGTTCGGTCCAGGGTTCGAAACCCAGCAAACGGACTGGCTGCATGGGCGTTTTCGTGATTTTTCCCATGTGAAACGTGTATACGAGCCAGTTTCCCTTAGAAAGTCCTCCACGAAGGCATCCTTTCCCTTAGGCAGATAGCTCTTGAGTGCTTTGTCGTTATTAAATAAGCCAAGCCAAGTCAATTCTAAGCAAAAGGGCTGACTGCTTGGGTGCTTTCACAGTTTTCCCCATGTGTGATATGGATACGAGGCAGTTTTTCTTAGAAAGTCATTCATGAGGGCACTCTTCCCTTAGGCAGATAACCCTCGCGTACTTTGCCATAATCAGATAGACCAAACCATGATTTATTTTATAATATATTTGTGAGTGACCAAATATATTATAAACCATGATATATTTTATAATATATTTGTGAGTAAGTCGAAGATCAGCACGTGTCACATAGAATGAATACATTGGATGAAGCCTTACCTTGGGATCTCTGGACTGGGAATGGTCAATAAATGCTAACGGTGCTTGCAACTTTAAAAAATAACTATGTCCAATATTTCAGCCATGTGACTTTCCTCCTTTTCGTGACAAAGAAATAAAACGCATTCGCTGGAAAAAGGACAACTTAAACCGTCAAAATTTCTATCTGTATAATAAAATACATTTGTCTTCAACTAATTACAAATTAAATTTAAAATCCCATCAGTCATGTACAAGTAGTCATCTTGTACACGTAGCGACTTTATTGGACATAATGTTAGAAGCATATTCTACTAATACATAGTGTTAGAAGTATATTCTACTAATAGTAGAAACTTTATAACTAATAAACTACTAATGGTAATAGTAGAACCTTTATTATTAAAAATTACGTATATTAGTTTTAAAGCTCTAAATCTGCTATATAGTATATGCTGTTAAGCGTTACAGTATAAGGAGCTGTTAATAATTTTATAAATAACTGAAAGACTTGTAGCAACGTAATTATTTAAATATTGTAAAAATGTATATTTTATAATGTTTAATTTTTAATCATTACTATTCTTATTTAAATATTGCATACATTTATCCGATATAAACAAACTATTAATTCACGTAATATTTCTTAAGGGAAAAACTAGTTGGCTACGATTTTGTTCCGGACTTGTTTTTGAATGGACAGATGTTAGATAGAATACCAACGTTCAAAATCGAAAATAAAAATATTTCGATGAACAAGATGTTATAAAAAAATTACAGTCAAAGTCATTAATTCGGACACCCATAATCCGGAATGATCTATAATCCGGACCTCAAAGCTACAAACTTTCTGCACATGCGTCGCCTTGACGCATGCGCCTAGGCGTTTACGCGTGCGCGTAAGACCTATACGGCTGCGAATTTGCGTGTGCGCATGCGCGTTTAATGTATAACGGACGGTATAAGCTAAGCTAAAATTATCTAATTCAGTTAATGTTCCAGATTGCGTTGTTCCTTAATCTTCGAATTGGATCAGGCTTATTATTTTTTTGCAGACTGTTAGAGCAATTTTATAAAAGTAAGCTTGAACTTTCGATTATGTCAAATAGAATTTCCGATATATATTTACTAATATGTAAAGGATCTACAAAGCGAAAGTATGTTTCGTCCATTAAACAGAAAGTGGAATTGCTGCAAAAAATGGATAAAGGCATATCCTTTGATTATCTAATCATTCCGAAATATGTTTATCAATTTCACGCTGCTCTGCGAAGGGAAACGACGCGGCGCGTAATGAATTGAAAGTTGATCTGTCAGCACTATCCTTATCTTCAGGGAAGATGTTTTTATTTTATTTGGTTTATAATTCCTTACTAAATGTAGTATTTCATCTCGATGTACTCCGTCTTTGATATGATTTAAATCAAGTTCCTCGTCATTATAATTCGCTTCCGATAGTGAAGAAAGTGACAGAGGTTATTGCAAACGAAAAAATTTCGATTGACAAATTAGTCGGTATTCTCGACACAGCAATTATAGGACTCGAACAGCGGAACTTTGTAACTAAACAAGAAATTATGTCTGTTTAATAGAATTAAAGAGAAGTATTATCACATGAAACGAAGCAACTTCAACATCTTACATTGAAAGAAATGTTTAATAAAGTAAACAAATAAATATTAAGCTTTTTCTTTTTGTAAAGTTTGATACCCTTTAGATCATAATTGTTCTTTATTTCATAAATTACGGTTTCATATTTTTAATTTCATAATTTCTGCATGCCATCTTACCAGATTTAAACTGATGATCTATAATCCGGAAAAATCGATAATCCAGAAACGCCGAAGTCCCGACGAGTCCGGATTAACGACTTTTGACTGTAATTAATTTCAGCCAGTGTCTAAGTTCATTATTAATGTGCTTAATGTCGTCAATAATTGAATTTATACCGCGGGGAATATCAGCACACGTAGAGTTAGAAATTTCTCACATTACGTTGTTGCTTAAACAAGAAGATTGGAATCTCCTAGAATAATATAACATACAGTGACTACTACGTGTGCACCCACTCATACTATACAATCCATCCATATTAATGTGCCCACCACTTACGTTTGATATTAACGTGAAATAACTAATCACAGAAGGTAGGTGGCAACACATTGCGGAGGAGCTTATATAAAGGGTGTCCGAGAGATTGCATTCGTTGGCGTAATGCAGAAACGGAGCGATTTATCTGATGTCCAAACAGGCATGATCATTGGCTTCTGGACCAAGGGTGGAAGATTTCCGAAACTGCTAATTTTGTAAACTGTTCGTGTGGCGCCGTGGTAAAAGTATACCGCGCGTGGCAAAATAACACTATCCAAAATCAGCAATGTGGCAAATGTGTGCACCACGGTCCATAGATGACAGAAGTCAACGACGGCTGCGAAGATGCGTTAGGGCGAATAGACGTGCAACCGTTGAGCAGCTGAGCGCCCAGATGAACCAAAGGAGCTACTAACGGTGTCTTCTCAACGACGATTCAGCGAATGTTGCCTGCTTAAAGCACTTATCCTGACTGCAGTTCATCGGCGACGAAGGCTGGTATTTGCACGCAAATACCGCAACTGGGCGTCCACTGAGTGGCGACAGGTGGCTTTTTCCGATGAATCACGTTTATGCTCCATCGGAAAGATGGACGTTGGCATGAAACGTCGGAAATAAACACCCTTTAACAACTGCCGAAAGGGTCCGAGCTGGAGGAGGGAAAATTATGGTCTGGAGAATGTTTTCGTGGCATTCTTTGGGTGCACTCATCATTGTGGAAGTCACGATAGATCAACAGAAATGCTCATCTGTCCTTGCGGACCATGTCCACCCCTACATGCGAAATTTCTTTCCTCAAAATGATGGCATCTACCAGCAAGATAATGCAAAGTGTCATACAGCTCGCAGTGTACGTGCGTGGTTTGAAGAACACCAGGATGAGTTTACGACACTCTCCTGTCCAGCAAACTCCCCAGACTTTAACCCACTCGATAATCTATAGAATCACCTCGATCAGGTTGTTCGCGCCATGGATCCTTAGCCGCGAAACTTAGCACAGTTGCCACTGCACTGGAGTCGGCATGGTTCAACATCCCAGGGAACAAACACCCTTCAAGAACCTAATTAATCTCTTCCTGCACGTCTCGCAGCGATCCGCTCTGCGAGAGGTGGTTATTTTGGTTTTTGACAGGTGGTTACATTAATGTGACTGGACTGTGTATATACGCTTACAAAAAAAAGGTGAAGATATTAGCCTACAGTTTTCTATTTTTCTTTTTTTTTAACTTTAAAAGGAAAAAAAAGGGAGTGGAAAGAACTCGATTCATTAACTTTGTCTGATAGTTACTGTATTCCCATAACTACACTTATTTTGTCCTTTGCAATAGTGTTAAAAAAAATCTGGAAGGTTTCAGATTTTGGCGGTTGTCGAAAAGAGTTTGCTAAGGATTTTTATGCTCTCACTGAACTCTTAGTATACCAGTCTGCTAACTTTTTTTTTCCCTTTTGAGCTTATAATATACTTATATTAGGCATAGCTTTCTTCACACTTACGCCATACATAATTCAATAGCAAAATCAAAAAAATTTCAAAAGCGGTATA